CCTTGTAACAATGAAGAAAAAAGGGGACTCAGACTCAGGAATGAATAATTAAATAGTTAAATCCGCAAATTCTGTGGGGCCTGCTTGTACCTACAGTAACAAAAACAATCACAGCTGCAGCTGCAGCCACAGCCAGAAGTCAGTATATGTGGGAGGTCATCAGCTAAACTATTGTTCTCTTTGCTGAGTGCATAGTGGAAGATTTTATGCTACCTTCTATAAATCTTTCAAAATTAATTTAATTGTCACTGTAAGAAATATTTTGACATTTAAGTTACTTTCTAAATGTAAATATATTGTGGGACGCAGCACTATAGCATCTTGAATGTGTAACGATAAGTGGAAAAAGTGCACAATCTTGCACAGGAGGTAAACACGTTTTATTTAGAGCCCACCTCACCCAGTTTAGTGCAAATTTCAAAGAGTGATGATCTGAGTTCCAAACTGTCAGTGAAGCTATTTCAGTGAAAGAGATGAATCTCATGCTGTGATCTGTACCTCCTGGCATGAGGCCTGGGTCCTCTTACTGAAGTGGTGACCCTTCACCCTGAGAAGGACATGGGTTCCTGACATCTTCCTCCACCTGGACTCATGGCAGCAAAAAATTTACAGTGAGAGACCTTCCTCTATCATGCGTCTGTGTGTTTCCTTCTCTTTAGCTCTTTATTTTCTTTCCTAGCAGAGGAAGGGGGATTCTTTGTTGTTCTAAGAGTAACCCCTGTACCGTTCTTGATCTGTTGAAGAAGATGATGATGATGATGATGTTTAGATTCTCTACAGTTTACTTTCATCTTGCATATATTTTATGTGGGGCACTCTGTCCACATCTTGCAATTGTCTCAATACAGGCTAGCCCCTGGTCCCTTCCAAAATTCTGCTCAAGGGTTTGTATGTGGCCAATTTGTGTTCTGGCTGCTCTTCTGTTGCCTGAGGGTAGGTCAAGGTCTGGAGGTGGAGGGGTGGTCAGCTGGGGCTGTGAGCAATCCTGTTTTCAGAGTTTTGTCTCTGAATTTTTTTCTAATTTCATTGCATGTCTCATAAGAGTGTGAACTCTGTCTAGTCAGAGGTCTTTACATTTTCTGTTGAGTTGGAAGATTTTTCCCTTGGTTCAGGGAGTCTTCTATACCATCCTTCCGGCCAGGACACTTGATCCAGGCATTTGTTCCTCTCTGCCCACCCTCTCCCCTTCACAGCAGCCACTACCTCTTCTCTCAGCTAGAGGAGGGGCAAGTCAGAGTAGACACGGGGTGTTTTCAAAGAACGATTTCTATGAGCTTTTTACCCCACCTGCCTCTACCTACTGTTTTGATTGCCTCCTCTTCACCCTGGGGTTATAGGGATGGCTCAGCACATGACCTCTGACCCTGGAAAGATGAGACAACAGCAATTTATTACATGTTCTCACAGCCCAGGGAGGGAGGACACCGCACACCATACAGAGCCACATGTGGGGTGCACTTGGGAACAGAGTGAACAACCAGGCTTTGTAGTATCAAGGGGGGGAGTGCCCCCTTGGTTCTCACAGAGGATGGATTGGCTTGTTTGAATAATTCCATGGGTGGACAGGAAACTGAAACCCACTACTCAGGGATAAGCAAGAACTGTGTCTGGCCCCCTGGGTAAGGACTGTTGTCTTACTAGGGGACCTTATCTGAGGGAGCAAAGTGGGAGGGGAACTTGGGCTTAGACCACTTACTGCCCTCCCGCTTTTACCGGATGTCAAGGCAACGTGTAAGAGTGAGTCTTATTTTAGATCTTGTTGCCTCATTGACACTCCACCTCCAGCCATGGACTCTCATGATGAGTCTATGCTTATTTTGTTTCTTTTGTCTTTTATCACTATCCCTTTTATTTCAATTCTTTGATGGTCTTGTCACCTTTTAAAGGTTAAAGGCAAGTGTGGTGACGAAACACATGAAGAAATGTCCCACTGAGGTGAATGAGAACGATTAAGTTTTATTCCAGCCACACCCCTGAACTACTCACCAGTTTATAGAATGGGAAGGCAGTACTGCTTTTATCCCTGGAGGAGGATGAGGGCTAGCCCGCCAGAATGACCACAGAGAAGAGTAGAAATACTAATTTCCATAATCACATATATTACAAACTGTTACGTCTTCTTAGCAGATTGCATCTCTTATCCTTTGAGCAAATCTGGCAAGAAATATCTCTGGATACTAAATTTTAATAACTAAAAAGCTTAAATCCTAAACTGGTTAGTATCAGTGTGCTAGGCTGTTGATCATTTTCTTTCAGAAATTTGTAAATATGAATCTATTTGCTTTTCATATAGTGTTAATGTTGAGAAGCCTGATGCCTCTCTAAATCATTCCTTTATTTGCATCCTACTCTCATTTTTATATTTCTGGAAGCTTTTAGGTTTATCTTTGTTGTTAGAGACCTGAACTGCCATCAGGATATGAAATCTTTTTTTTTTTAATTTTTTTTATCATGATCCAGCACTCAGCTTTTTGTTTCTGAAACATGTTTCCTTTCAGTTCTGAACATTCTTTTCCCATTATTTCTTTTACTTCATTATCTCCATTTTCTCTCTTCTTCTTTTCATTTCTTACATTAAACTCACACAGCTCTTAAGTTGGCTCTTATATTTCCCATGTCTTTTTTTCCCCATTTGTTCTGTATGCTAGCAGATTTTGTCTACATCATTTTGTGGAAACCTAATTCTCATTTTTGTCATGAGTGGTTATAATTGGGTCCCTGTTGATTTTTAAATTCAGCGATCATACTGTTAATTCATAAGAACTCCTCCTTTTTTCACTGATTTACCCTTTATTGTTATAGTTAGTCCTGATTTATGATTGCAATAGTCTCTCAGATCTCTCTGAAATTATTAAATCATTATAAGCCTTTTTCTCTTCCCTCACTTATCTCTTTCTCCCAGAATGTATATCAATATACTTTTCTTCCAAAATGTTGATTTTCTCCACAGCTGACTTTTTTATAGTGTTGATTTTTCTCCAGTGGCTGATGATCCTTAGTGAGGGTCTGGATTGACTAGTTAACGACTTTTAGGATATGTCATTGCTGTATGATTTCTCTGCCATTATATAGATATTTTCCCAAAGGGCTCTTTATTAAATAAGAGGGCTGACTTTGGGTCCTGTGTAAGCAGTAAGCTATGTGAGCAGTCTGTGAATGGACGTTATTTTAACAGCACACATGGGTGAGTCCGTGCATGTGTGCATGCGTAGACACACGTACATAACACATACACACACAAATACACGCATGCACATACCTTCAATGCCAAAGGGAGAGTGGCAAATGATATCATTCCCAGACAAAACTCATGTTCTCCTTTTATTCTCCCATCCATGTCTTTCATGAGGGTCCAGAGTGACCTGATACTGAGGTCTGTTTTGGTCCCAACCCTGGGCATCTTCCCAAGGCAGGTAGTTCACTTCATTCAGAGTGCTTTCCTTGGGTCCATACTTGGCTGCTGTCTGCTGTTCAGTGTAAAGGGAACTGTTGGGAGTTCTGTCAGGCCCTTCCATTAAGGAAACACTTTACAATAAATTATCCTAGCCATTGCCCAGGGGCCCCTTCTTGTCCTGTGTGGTTTTCACTCTAAGCTTGGTTGTTTGTTTGCTTTTTTGTGGATTTGCCCTTTCTTTGTCTTATGCTATCCTTAGGCTGAGAATTTCTTTACAATTATGAAATAAATTACTTACTTTTTATTTTCCAGGAATTTCTGACAATTTTTAATCTGTTGTTAGAACACTTTGTTGGTTTTCAGTGTCCTTGGAGCTATACTTAAAAAATACGCCCTTTCTCTAATTCTGAGTGATTGACAGTGGTACACTCTCTGACCTCCATCCTGATCTAAGTTTTCTTGTACTGCCTTTTCAGTATTGTTTCCCCTTCCAAAGAGATGTGTGTTCTTCATAGCAATATAATACATACACATTGGGGGAAAGTTAGAAAATATGGAAAAGCCACATGAAAAATGTTTCTAAGGTCTCATGTAAAAGTTTATTTCATTAATATTCAGTATGCTTAATTTTGCAAAAAGTTGCTTTAATCATGGAGTAGAATATTTGCATCTTATTTTGGGAAATGCCATTATATCGCAAATGCTGCTAAAAATCTTAGAGCATATGCACAAGGCCTACGGTGCAGCACATCACAATTAGAATAGTCTCAAATCCATTTGCTGCATAGTGAAAAGCAGAGCTTTTCCAATACTCAGTGATGGGAATGAAATATTTGGTTCAGTCATATGTGTTTGTGAGATAGTCTGTTTTTCCAGTTTCATAATGAAAAAAAAACCCTGAATACTCTTGCTTTTGATTTTTAAATCACTCCAAAATACAGTCATAAAGTCTGATTTTTAAGTAGCATAGTTTAATCAGTAAGCTTCCTGACTTAGACAATTAGAGGTTTATTTTCCTTACAAAATAAGAAGTCTGCAGCTGGTTTGACTAATATCCCTCTCATGGACCTACCAAATTTTTATCTTTCCATTCTGTTCCACTCAGCATACAGGCTAGTATTTAATGCTTACAGGATGTCTGGGCATCACAGGTACCATGCCCATGTTCTGGGAGAAGCATCAGCCAGCTGATTCCATGCACTTCAACAAGAAAACATTAGCCTTCCTGCGTACTCTACCAAGTAGGGTTTCACTCGAATCTCTTTGGACGGAGCCATCACATGATCACACTTAGTCCTTTTAGATAGACACACAGCATCTTGGAGCAAGATCATGATGTTAAAGAAGAAAAGAAAAGTGGGTTTTGGCAGGCAGGTAGCAGTGTCTGCTTTTGAGACTCATTTCTATTGCAGTGCATGACATTCATGAGGCTCAATATCCTTTTGGAGGAATTGGTGAATGCTACCAATTGCACTGTAGTCATTAACTCTGTGTATGTCCACATGGCTGTGCATTTATACAGATTCTAGTGTAATGTATAATTGAATAAACAATCACATAGCGAAAGATATGCCTGGATAAAAATGACTTTCATTTCTTTCATTAGCCAGGCGATACCTGTGACAACCATCCTAGTCAGTTGGACGGCACCCAGGAAGAAAAAGAGCTGCCAGGAGTTATCAAAACAAGTGGTTCCTTGGTAAGTGATAGCAGGAGAACTGGGGGTAGTGATGAAGAAAGAAGCCATTCCTTCAAGACAATCATGCAAAACTTCAAAACAACACAACATAATTCAGGTGGCTGGACAACTACAGCTGTCACATGCCTATCTACCTTTATTCGATCTGTAGGAAGCCATTCAGCAGTAAATGAACCCGAGTTTAATAGTTAAAGCCACAAACAACTACATGCTCTATTAAAACAGATACAAACCCAGAAAACCAACGATGGTAGGCATTTCTTTATGACAGATTTAGTTCCTTTCCATTTTTCTTTTAATTTGAAAAATTCTCATAAGAGTGTTGGTTCCATTGAGTCACAGCTCCACCAGCTATGGACGTCAGGTCACAGGACAGCAGTAGGTGTCCTCAGGTTGTCCACTGTTTCCCTGGTGCAGGGCGAACACCAGGCATCTTAGTTCTGACCACACTCTTCACCCTAGGTGTCTAGTGCCCCTCCCCTTCCCCATCCCCCTGCTTTTCCCCAAAGCCACTTCCACTCCCCACTTACCCAGAGGAGGGCAAAGTCAGGCAAACATTGGGAGAAAGATCCAGCTTCTGTCAGTTTACAAACGGGAAAGATTGCTTTATTTATGGTTTAGCCAGAGCCTGTTCTCACATCTGTTTTTACTTGCACTTCTATCCTAAGCTATCTTTTCTCTCCCTTGGTGGAGCTTATGTACTCTACCTTTCCTTTAATTTTTCCATCCTCATATTACCTCCCTTAACTTCCTCCCAGGTAGAAAAAAGCTAAATGGTGAATCCAATAGGTTCCCTTCTCCCTACTGAGACGGTGTCGGGGAGAGACTGAGTTTCAAGGGCTCTGCTCATACTGACCCCAGATGTGGTTACTCATACCTTCAGTTGTTTTCCCTCATGATTTGGAGGAGATAGTAGATGTCTATTTCAAAAGTGTCTCCATTTGATTAGGAGGGAGGTGGATTTTGGAAAAGAATTTACATTATTCCTGGAATATTTCTTTCTGACCACCACTCGTGTGAATGTTGCTGGGATTCTTTTTTCTTTTTTTCATTATGTTTTGTTGACTCTACTAGGTTTTAGGAGAGAAAGACTTGGTCATTGACTTAACTCTCCCATTTTATTCCAGAATATTATCCCTATTGTTTACAGAAAGAATACATAACTCTTTTTTAAAAAAATTTATTTATTTTATTTATTTATTTTTGGCTGTGTTGGGTCTTTGTTACTGCGCGCAGGCTTTCTCTAGTTGTGGCGAGTGGGGGCTACTCTTCATCGCAGTGCGTGGGTTTCTCATTGCAGTGGCTTCTCTTGTTGCGGAGCACAGGCTCTAGGCACGCAGGCTTCGGTAGTTGTGGCTCATGGGCTCAGTAGTTGTGGCTCACAGGCTCAGTAGTTGTGGCTCGTGGGCTCTAGAGCGCAGGCTTAGTAGTTGTGGCACACGGGCTTAGTTGCTCCCTGGCATGTGGGATCTTCCCAGACCACGACTCGAACCTGTGTCCCCTGCACTGGCAGGTGGGTTCCTAACCACTACGCCACCAGGGAAGCCCCAACTCTTTCTTTTTATATTAAAATTATCCACAGTTTGTTCTCTGCTGGTATTTCCAAGCTTTAGTTCCCTTGCCTTTTTTTTTTTAATAACGTTTATTTGTTTGTTTGTTTGTTTATTTATTTATTTGGCTCTGCTGGGTCTTACTTGTGGCACGTGGGATCTTCATTGCGGCATGCAGGATCTTTTAGTTGCAGCATGCAAACTCTTAGTTGCAGCATGCATGTGGGATCTAGTTCCCTGAACAGGGATTGAACCCGGGCCCCCTGCATTGGGAGTGCCGAGTCTTAGCCACTGGGCCACCAGGGAAGTCCTAGTTCCTTTGACTTAATCACACAAATCCTCTACTTTGGAAAACAAATCAACTTTCTGTTTCAAGAACATAGTTGGAGCTTTCCAGTGATAAAATTTTGTTTGATCTTTTCTCATCTTTCAAAATGGGCAAAAGATTTGAATAGACACCTCTCCAAGAAAGAGATTTGGATGGTGAATCATCTTATGAAAAGTGCTCAATATCATTAGTGATAGTGGAAATGCACATAAAGCCATGATGAGATAGCTCTACATACCCTGTAGAATGGCTGAAATTTAAAAAGCTGACCGTATCGACTGGTGCTAAGGATGCAGAGCAACTGGAACTCTCATACATTGCTGGTAGGAATGTAAAATGGTCCATCCACTTTGGAAAATAATTTGGTAGTTTCTTAAAATATTAGGCACATGCCTTCCATATAGACCCAGCCATTCTACTCATAGATAATATATATTCATACGAAGACTTAACCACAAAAGTTTATAGCTTAATAGCCCCAAACTGGAAAGAACCCAGTTTTACCTGCAGCTAAATATATGAACAAATTGTGATATATCCATACAATAGAATATTTCTCAGCAATAAAAAGCAATGAACATTTGATATACAAAGCATGGATGGATCTTAAAATAATTATGCCACGTGAAAGAAGCCAGACAAAAAAGATTCAATTTATATGAAATTACAGAAAACGTAAACTAACCTATAATGAGGGAAAGAAGATCGGTGATTGCCTAGGGGTTGGTGCGGAGGAGAGGGAAGGAGGGATGACAAAGGGGCATGAGGACATTTGGGGAGTGCTGGTTTTGTTCATTGTCTTGACTGTGGTGATGGTTTCATAGGTCTGTATATTTGTCAGAACTCATCAAATTGTATGCCTATAATCTATCTCAAGAAACCTTCGCAAAAGAGTCCATATAATATTTTATGATTTCTTTAATATCCAACACATTTATTTTGCAGTAAGCTACTTACAATAAAGGAATTGTCTGTTATAATATAGATGATTATCTATTGTCTATATATTATACATGGTTGAATCTTGACTCTAAATCACAAATGCCACTAAATCTGGGCATTTACAAAAGATTTACAGAAGATTTACAACCTGTACAGAAGGCTTACAACCCAGTCTACAGTCCTTACAAACTACTCTACAAATCACTTGTATAGATAAAAGAAACATTTTCCTTATGTGTAGTCAACATAAATGAATTAGTCATTAGAGGTGTTAGTTAATTCAAAGGCAAAGTAGTCGGTCTAGTTTATTTCCAATGTCTTAAGTGAAACTCAAATAGCTACATTTGCTATTGATTTATAATTCGCTGCAAAATACAGTCATACCTTCTGTTAAAAATGATCAATTGCATCTGTGTTTGCTTTGTAGTAAAGAAAATCTAAGGAACCTTGGTTTAAACAAGTAGGAGTTTGTTTTAATCACAAAGTGAGCAACTAATGGTGGATAAACCAAGGCTAGTACAACTGCAGTGCAATGCAGTGCCGACCTTAGCACAAAACTTCTAACTTTTTCCTTTCATGCTGCCACCATAACATGTGGATTTAATCCTTAAACTTACAACATGGTTAGCAAACTCTGGATCCCATTAGGAACATGTGCCAACTGACTGTTCATTGTTAACAGAAAACCTTAGCTCTCCTGGAGAACCCGCACAGTGGCATTTTTCATATTGCCCATTGACCTACTCTTGTACTCTTACATGACAATCTGGGTTTCTTTTCTCTTCTTTGGTTGCCTGAATCTTATTCCTTTATAAATAAGCTTTTTGTGTTGGCCCTCTCTACAACCTTTTTGAATTTTGAATTTATTGCTGGAATTCTGAACTTTCACAAGAATCAGCCCCTTATTTCATTCATCTTGGTGACTGCTCAGTGAGTTCTTTCTGAGAACTGATTTCTTTCTTCAGTTTCTGGACATTGTCTTCTATTACGTCTTAAGTTATTTTTTTCTCCTCATTTTCTATGTTTCCCCCTTCTAGAACACATATTAGATGGTTCCTCCTTTGCTTGAATTGAATTTCAGTATCTCCTAAATTTTCTGTCCTGTTAGTCTGTTTGCTCTGATTTCTTCATCTTTATCTTCCAGATTGGTAATTTTTTTCTTGGTCATGATTCTGTTTTTTTTTTTTTAAGCTTGCCTTACTCCTTATACATTTCAGCAAACATATTCTTATTTCCCAAGAACAACTTTTTTCTCTCTGATTTACCCATTATGGTAGCTGTAGGTTCTTGATTCATAGAAGCAATAGCCCCTTGAAGATAAGAATTATATTATTTGTAAGGAATGAGATTATTTCTGTCTTTTTTATTGATATATATATATATATATATATATATACTTTAAAGTGCATGCATTTTAGGTATATAATTCAGTTTGAAGAAGTGTTTTCACTCATATAACTACAGTCAGTCAAAATAGAAAACATTTCCATCACCAAAGAAATTTCTCTCAGGCCTTTTCCAGTCTATTGTCCTCCCTGTCCTGCAGCAGCAAACCCTATTGAGATTAATATGCACTCTTGTGTCTGGCTTCTTTCACTCAGAATAATTTTTAGATTTATCCATTTGTTGTGTGTATTAGAAATTTAGTCCTTTTATTACTAACAATAATCCATTGTGTAAATATACTACTATTGGTAGTATACTACTATCTATTCACCTGATGGTGGACATGTGGACTGTTTCCAGTTTTGCGCTATTACGAATAATGCCGCCAATACATTCATTTAGTATAAAGGATGTATATTCTCATTTCTCTTTGGTAAAGATGCAACATAATTCAGATTGTTGGCAAACAAGCCATCCTCAGCTCCATCACCCATAACTCTTAAACTCAGCTAGGAATAATTCAATAAATCAAAAATAACTAAATTCTATCTTTTAAAGAAAGCATCTACAGGCAGAAACAACAACAGAAACTAATATTTTAAACGTGTATCCTAAGTGGAGGATGTTGTCAACTAAAGCTTGGTCCTGTGGGTGAGCTCATATGGAAAAATAACAGATTACCATGTAAAATTTTTTTCATTATTTTCAGTATCAACTAAGAAACAAAAATTTAGTTTTTCCCAGTTATTTTCCAAACGTAAACATCTTGTGTGGAAAACATGCTAGCTTTTCGAGTGCGTAGCAGTGATAGAAGCAGTGGAGTCCTGCCCACGTGCAAGCACCGTCTGATTAGGGAAGCACACATCTCCCCTGTCGGGTGACAGCAAGTGTCCCCAAGTTTACAGTGCAGGGAGAGCTTCTCACCAAGACTATGGATCCTGGATGTTTTTTCCTGTCCATCTCTGCAGTCCCTCCACCATACCCCTGTCTATCAGAATCCTGTCACAGCAAGAGGGTGGGATGACCCACCAAAGCCTCCATCAGGGCTGAAAATGTTCAACAAGGCAGAAGACACCAGCACATTTTCAGGTGGAACTACCACCCCTGGGTCCCTGAAGTTGTCTGCAATCATAATGCAAGTCTTTATTAATTTTGATTGATTACTGTAGGGAATTGCTGTATGTTTCCTCTGCAGTTGAGTAGGCTGATTTTACTAAAAGGCCAAAATTGTTGATTGTGTTTTTTTTGCGAGTGACTGGGGTGTACTTAACTTTAAGATGCATAGAGGGGGCAGGTGGGTTAGTGCAGTAAACACTCCCCAAATGCAAAACCGATGAAGGGAATGAAGAATTCTTCATCCAGGCAAAGCCGATTTCATTATCAGTTACCCCTCCTTCTCTTTTACACCCCCCTCCTCCTTCAGTATCCATGGGGAATTAGTTCCAGTACCCCCCAGGATACCAAAATCCATGTGTGCTCAAGTCCCTTATATAAAATGGTGTGGTATGTGCATATAACCTACACACACCCTCCTGAATACTTTAAATCATCTCTAGATTACTTATAATACCTAACACAGTGTAAATGCTATATAGTCACTGGCATATGCAAAATTCACGTTTTGTTTTTTTGGAAATTTCTGGAATTTTTTTTCATATATTATCCATCTGGGTTGGATGAATGTACAAATGTAGAACCCGTGGAGACAGAGAGTCAACTGTACTCAAACTAGGAGCCCACCCACCCCAGGGCAGTTAGTTCATTTTATTTAGACAGAATTGGGGGGGGGTGCGGTTCTAGGGTTATATTTAGGGGCTGTCTGCATATTTAAAGAGGGATGGTCTACTTGACCTCTATCGATATTTTGTAAACAGCTCTTAACTATTTGCCTGTGGCCCTTTCCTACTCTTTGTACATTCTGTTATTTTTCTCTTCCCTCTCTAAAAAATTTTCTTTTATGCTGTTTTCAAGTAGAGGTTTTTATTTTACCAAATCAATTCTATTAGCTTTTCTTCTAGAAATTTCTATCAGCTATGGAATTCTTTGCTGGTTTCCGTTGCTGTTAACAATCTGTTTCTTTAAAAAAAATATATATATATATATATATATAGATATGTATATATGTTTTCTGCCATTTTTAGTGATTTGGGGTGAGGGGAGTTAGGTGATTGTCAGCTTGCCATCTTGACTTAAATTTCTTGTGCTAGATCTTGTGTTCTATTTGTTCCTTTAAAGAACAAAGAGACCTATGTTTATTTTATAAAGTAACACATACCGTCTATAGAAAATTTAGAAAATATGGTCAAGAGCGATGAGTGACAGTTTTTTAAAAAACAAAATATCGTATGTTTTTATAAGTATCAAATATATTCGATTTTGCCATAAGGTTCCTTCAGTAAGGAAAAGAATATTCATTTCTTAAATTTCAGTAATGCCCTTGTACACTAAAGCAAAAATCTACTTCAAGCTTTATAAATGAAAAAACAATTTGGTACTATTGCTGTTGAATTCTAATCACTGTGAAAGATCGTCCTAGGGTCTGTTTAAAAAAAATAAGATTAAGTAATGCCCTTGTACACTAAAGCAAAAATCTACTTCAAGCTTTATAAATGAAAAAACAATTTGGTACTATTGCTGTTGAATTCTAATCACTGTGAAAAATCGTCCTAGGGTTTGTTTAAAAAAAATAAGATTAGGGGCTCCTCTGGTGGCGCAGTGGTTGAGAGTCCCCCTGCTGATGCTGATGCAGGGGACACGGGTTTGTGCCCCGGTCCGGGAAGATCCCACAAGCTGCGGAGCAGCTGGGCCCGTGAGCCATGGCCGCTGAGCCTGTGCGTCTGTAGCCTGTACTCCGCAATGGGAGAGGCCGCAACAGTGAGAGGCCCGCATACTGCAAAAAATAAAAATAAAAATAAAAATAAGATTATAGACAAGTTAAGTTTGTGTTTGGCTGCATGTAATAGAAAAGTTGGAGTTGCTTTGCTTCACGTGGAGATGCTTAAGAGGGGGTGGTCCAAGTGTGACAGGGCAGCCACGTGGTTCCCCTTAGCACAGACCCAGCCATCTCTGCCATCCATCATCCTCATTAGAGCAAGATGCCTGGCAACTCCAGGCTGTCACCTAGAGTGCTGTCAAGAGCATGTAGCAGCTGACCCTACTCTTTTTGGTCAGGAAAGCCTTAACTTTTCTGGAGGCACTCTTCTTAATATTACACTTACACCTCATTGACCACACTTGTCACATGATCACTTTTAGCTGCAAAGAAGCCTGGAAATCAAGTTCTCTGGTTTAACACCTCACTCCCTGGAACAAAACCAAGATATTGTTAAGGAAAATGGAATTTGTGGCAGACAAGAGCAGTGTCTGTCACAGGGCCAGGGTCTGTCAGAGGGCCAGGCATTTAGGTGGTTCGCAGTGATAAGCCCTGAAGGGCTGGTGCAATTGCCCATGCCCTGGCAGTCATAACTCTGTGTATTGCCACACATATCTAAATACGTACGCATAGTGGAATACACAAACACGTTAGAAAGTATTTGCCTGAATAAGAATGGTGCTTTCATTTCTCCATTTAGCCAGATGATGCGTCTTTCAACATTACTACCCTGTCAGATGGGTCCCAAGATGAAGAAGGGAGTTTTGCAGTTCCCAGGAGTGGCTCCATGGTAAGTCATCGCATGCCCAGATGATTGCATGTCAGGGCAAAATTGCAAATTCAAGGCAAGAAGAAGCAATTTTTTTCAAACAGATGAGAAAAACTTGAACTAACACTGTGAGGAAACCACAGCTGCCAATAGACCCATCAACCTTATAACAATTAGGAAGAAAGAGACTCAAAACTGAGGAATGAATAGATCAGTTTGAAAGACTCCATAAATTAATACGGATGCAGTGTTCTTTAGGAGCATCAAGCATGGAGTGATTTGTTAACTTTTGTCCCCTTGTCTGAGTTCATACAGATGATCTGTCCTAACTCTGCCATCTTAACTCAGAAGTCCTTTTACCTGCAGGATAAATTAAAATTTCCTCCTCCTGATATTGAAGCCTCCGCACTGTTCCCTGTGTATCCAGCGTTGGATCTCAGGACTCATCCAAACAAACCCTCCAGATTCACTCACGTGGCCTTGAGTAGTAGAACTTCTACTTTTCTTTGTCTCAAAGTCTCGTCATTCCTCCCCCCACCCCACCTGCACTGGGAACTCCCAATTGGTGTTTCTGTGCAGGAGCCCTGGCAGGGTGTGGCATAATGGACCAGAAGTGAGGGACCCTGTTAGATAAAGTAGTGGTTCTCCACTGTCAAGTTGATGGAAGGCAAAAGAGCACAACAAGACGGGCAGATGGAGGGGGCACATTCAGCATCCTCCTGGGCAGTAGTTTCTTGTCTGTTGTCGAGTTTGATATACCGGGTAGTTGATATGCACAGCACACTCCCAGGGCACCCCCATTGTTCAGGGAGATAATGCCATTAGCCCCATGTGAATGAGTTTTTCTGTTGTGTTTTTAGATTTTTGGTTATGAGGTTGTTTTGTTTTGTTTCATAGTGATCATTTAAGGAGCATAAAATAATGTGAGTGATTTTTGTCAGTAGCACTCACTACAGGTTATAGCACTGATAGGCTAAGGGTTACCCACAGTTTCTGACCTACTGGCTTTAAATTCAGCTGTTACTTTCCCATTTAAGACCACGCATTGGAATGCAAATAAGTGAGAATATCTCTATTTCAGAGATAACCTCCAGTTCACCCCACTTAGTGATGAAAACAAAGTAAGTCATTTGCAAACTGGTGACTCCTAGAAATGAGGAGTTTCCTACAGTAGACCTTACATGGTTGTGCTGTCCACCCCACCCCGACCCCGTGACCGAGGATTCCTCTTCTAAGTAAGGCCTTGCCCAGGATCCTTCCTTTTCAGTCTCAGCTGGAGGTACCCATGTGCCCAAGACTCAGCCCTAAGTCTTAGCCTCACCTCTACCTGTCTTCTCTGACACCTGTTGATTTTATCTTGTACTTAGTTCTAGAATATGTCTACTCCCCTCTTTTCCTACAACTTCTTCCTTAGTACAGAAACTCATCATCTTTCTGTGCTGCTGAAGCAGCCGCCTAAGTGATCTCCCGGACTTTAGCTTATACCCTCCATCTCATCCTCGCCGTGGCTGCAAGTCATCGGTCTAAAATGCAAGTCTTGCTCCACGCCTGCAGCAGTTCTCCCCACTTTCTAGTTAGTGTTAGTGTTAGGTAGTTAGAAAGCTCCTGTCTCTGACCCCTCGTCTGTCCCCTAGCTGACTTCACCTGTTCTATAAGCCAACAAGAAAGTACTGTGTGTAGTTCTGTGCACACACCAAGCAGAGCTTGAAGTATGGTGTTTGCACCGTTGAGTTGCTAAAGAAGAGGAGGTTGGGTAGGCCTGTTTTCTAGGCTTTTCCATGGCAGCTCTGTGACCACAATGCTTGTGACGTTTTTCTATTTCTTCACTCTTTGCTGATTCATTGATTTATTCATTCACCAAATCTTTATTGAACATGTGTTGTCTACAGATAGGATCCTTGAAAGTTTGACAGTGTAAGAGAAAGAAAATGATCTTGCATGGCAGTTATAGATAGAGCTTCCTGGGGTAAGTTAGTCATCACTCAGATTTCGTTTTTGTTTTCATTTTGTTTTTCTGAAAACTGATTGAATGTCAATAATGACGTAAGTAAAAGTTTCAGCAGTAATGACACTCAAAAAAATTTCATTGGTACCTGTCTCTAGTGTGACTTACTTTGGATTGTTTGTTACTCATAATATCTTTACTTTGAAATGTTAAACAAATTGGTTAGTTTCTAAAGTAGCCCACAGATGCCAACTTAACTCCTTCTGCACCTGTACTGAAAATCATTCTAGAACTTCTTATCGTGACGTAAACACATTTTTGACTTCCCTGCTTCTTGATTATAAGGAGCCATGGGCACCCCAGTTTGGTTCCCCAGTTTCTTCTACATGGTGGGATTTCCAGTGATTCAGTGCAGTGGAGGCAAGGGCTTCAGGGGTCCTGGCCATGATGCCTATAAAGGTAAATCTCGCCGGCCTGTCAGGGAAAATCTCACTGACTATTTACTGTTATCTCCAAGACTCCAGAGGCTCTTGACAACTTTCACTGTTGGCATTTATGTTGTGGAATGGGATAAAGTAGGTAACCTAACTTTATCTTTTCCAAGAGGATAGCCTTGGTTTGACCAACATCTTGTTTTTTCATTCTTTCATCTTTTTTACTTGTTTGATTTGCACCTTTATGATAAGTGAATTCTCTATGTATACAGGGTCTATCCTAATTACTATGACTCTATGTTTTGTTTATTTAAATTTGTTACAAGTTTGCCATCATTGTTTAGAATCAAAGTTTTCTTTCCTCTTCTCAGAAATTTTTTTCTTTCAGATGAACTTACATTGAGGCTATCACTACCCATTTAATAAAAATCTTGTTAGTACTCCACTAAGAATTTCATTGAATTTAAAGATTGTTGGAGAGAATTCACATCTTAAAATATTGAATCTTCCCACTGAGAAAAAAATGTGTCTTTCTATTCATTTGTATCTTCTATCCTTCAATAAAATTTCATAATTTCCTCTCATATTTTTTCCTACACATTTTTTCATTTATTACTAGGAACTTAATAGCTTTCATTGGTATTTTAAATGGTAGGGGGTTTTCATGGTATCTTCTTGTCTGTTTTTGTGGATATACAAGGAAAGTATTTTTGTTACTCACAAAAGTCTCTCTTATAGTTTCCTTTCTGAAAATTCTTTTTTATTTCTTAGAATTTTTCATTTGATTTTATAATTTGTGCAGACATCGTCTGAAATACTGAAAGTTTTATTTGCCCAATCTTTAAAATACAATTAGCCCTCTTTGTTTTTAGGTTCTGCATTCTAGGATTCAACCAACTGCAGGTTGAAAATATTCAGAAAAAAAAAAGCCCAGAAAGTTCCAAAAAGCAAAACTTGAATTTGCTGTGCACCAGCAACTATTTACATAGCATTTACATTGTATTAGGTGTTATAAGTAATCTAGAAATGATTTAAAGTATACGGAAGGATATGCATAGGTTATATGCAAACGCCACAACGTTTTGTATAAGGGACTTGAGCATTTGAGGATTTTGGTGTCCTTGGGGGTCCTGGAACCAATCCCCCATAAATACCAAGGGACGATTGTAGTTATTCTTCTTATTTACTTTTCTTATCTTATTGAACCAACCTCAAGCACTTATAACATTGAATAATAATTATGGAGATCTTTTGATACATTTTTGATTTTCTCATGAATTCTTCTAAGTTTCACTATTAAGAAGAATATTTATTCTGGGTTTCTGAGCCTTGTAGTTACTTTTATCAGGAGTAGAGACTGAGTTATATCAAATGATTGTATCATCTATTAAAATGAATGTATTATTTTTCTTCTTTAAAAGGCAATTACTTTAGGAAATTACATTGATAGGTTTTTCTAATGTTGAACTATAATTTCATTGCTTAGTTAAACCCTAGTTGTGTTATATTATTCTTTTCTTATGCTACTGAATATGATTTGCTACCATTTTAGCATTTTTAACCACTATTCTAGTAAGTGGGGTTAGCCTATAATATATCATTTCTTTTTGTTATTACCAGAGTTATGCTAATCTTGGTACAAACATGTTGAGAAATTTGAATCGTTTTCAGTATTTTGGAGCTACTTATTAAACTTTGGTGTAAACACATACAATCTGTAAAAACTATTATATACAGTTTTATGCCAAGGTCTGTCATCACTGTAGACCTAATGCTTTGATTAATTTTTCAATAGATATGGTTTAGGGATTATATTCCTTTCAATCCCAACTTACATGAATTTGGTAATGTGTATTTGTTCTAGCAAAACATCCACTTCATTTAAAATTTCAATATATGTTGGTGTGTGTGTGTGTAAACACATATGTACACAAATATATATATGTACATACACACATTTGTTTAGGTGCATAATTTTAAAATTTTCTGTGAAGGTAGCTATTACTCCTTTTTTCTTCCTAAAATTTATGTCTATCAGAATGTAAATACTTGCCTGTGTTGGCAGTATTTTTTTTAAAAGTCACTACCTTTAATTAATTAAGCCTACTTTTTCTATCGTATTAATTTATTTAATCCTTATTAATTTTTTTTCATTCATTCTTGGGTCTACTTGGATAATTTTTCCTAGTCTCTTGGGTTATAAACATTTTTCTTCTCTTCTTTTTTTTGAAATATATACTCATTTTAATGTCAGACACAAAAATTTCAGAATATCCCTTTTTAGAAGAATTTGCTCGGAACTTATCCATTACATCAACAACTTTTTTTTTTTCCCTGAATTTTATTTAATTTACTTTTTTATACAGCAGGTTCTTATTAGTCATCAATTTTATACACATCAGTGTATACATGTCAATCCCAATCACCCAATTCATCACACACCGCCCCCCCCCAGACCCTTGCCACTTTCCTCCCTTGGTGTCCATTTATTTTTAAACTTCATTATACTTGTGTTTAAGGTTAAGAAGTAATATGAATAATACTTTGGCTATTCACATGGATTTTTGGAATTTATTACTCTCATTGTCTTTAATATTTAGTTTATAATTTCAGATGTCATAGATGGCATTGGAATGCCTTTAAATTCACATTTGGATAGATTTTGTAATTTTTATTATATTTTTAATTTCAAAATTGGTTACGTATTTGTCAGTGAATGTGGCTTATTTACGTTCATCTCTGGGGAATTTGGCACAGTGGATGCAAGAGGTGGGTTTATCAGTTCTGATCTCAGATGCAGAAGAGGAATATGGGAAGCCTTATTGTCTGTAATGACTGAAGCACAGGCAGATTTAGTGTATAGAGTTATAACACATAGGTTGAAACCATGAGAAAAAACCAAGCAGCCAGTCAGGAAGGTCAGAAACATCTTTTGAGTCGGTGAGTTTCTCCTGTAAGTAATGAACACGGAAAATATTTGGTATGGTGTTTCTTTAATGTGAAGGAAATATCAGATAGTCGAAGTCTAGTTTTAAGAGAACTCAAGCAGATAGTGCTAACCTTCTAAATGTTGGAATTTAAAATAATAATCCTTCAACCTTTACTCTCCAATCCCAGCGCAGTAGGATTTGGGCAGCAGAGCAAGCGTTGGTAGCTAGGAAGCTTTGCCTCTCCTAAAGCAGCTGGGGCCCCAGTGGGAAACTCTCGTGGTTGGGCATGTAGGGAAATGGTAGGATCCATTATGGACAAGCTAGGGAAGTTTGTTTTAAATGGGAGTGGCATTTATGTTTGAAATACATTAAAATCACTAGTGAAAATATTTTAAAGATTCTAATATTAATATGTTTAATGAGTAAGTGGATGTTTTAAAATTATGAATACCAAGGACTGAGCCTTTTCATTCAGCCTGTTTCCAAACTCATGGTCCCTTTATTGGCAGAGAGATCTTCCTTTTCATTTTCACCAAGTCATCCCCCTGCTTTAACACATGAATGTTCTTTTGTTTGTTCTGTTGTGCTTTAACCCTTATGAGTCTTAAGTCTGAGAACCTCTACCTGGCTTTCAAAACCTTCTTGACTAACATATTTCTCATATTTTTCTAATACCTTGTCTCAACTCCTGGCAAATCAGGCTCTCCATGATCCTCTCATGAAGCCAAAATGCTTCAGATTTCCATACGTGAAATTTATAATTCCATGTCTGGCCTGAATGCTTTGCCCTCCTCCCTGCCTTTGTAAGTCCTTTTCATCATTCCTTGAGTTCCAGTGCAAGGTCAGCCACCTCTTCAGTGAAACCTTTCGGGTGGCACCTCTTTCCTCTCCTTTCCTCTCCAGTAAACACTAGTAGTGTAGAAATAAGCTCTTAAGAGTGGATTGTCTTTTAATAATGTTCCATAAATGTCACTCTCTTCTCCTCATTATAAATAGCTAAAGAGCAAGGGTCACGATTTAAATTTCTGCTTCCCCCAGGAAAGTCCCAGAATAATTTGTATTACAAAAAGTGGGACCTCATTCAATACTATAGGCTGGCTGGGGGCCAGTTAAACCAGACAGCAGATGGCACTCCTCCACTTTACAGATTACGAAATTGACATTTAGTCCATTCAAGGATCCTAAGCCATCAGCTTCAAGCCTTACATGAGTGTTTCTCAATTTTCAGGAGTGTTCTCTTCTATAGATGAGTTATTAAAAAGTTTAATGAAACATTTCTTTCTAGAAAAACGTAAGGAAACCACTGAAAAGTGTTCCACATCTTTTTAAGGATATCAGTGTATAGGTAATCTTTAATCTGTAGTGTTAGTTTTTAGAGCTACCAATTACATAATTGAGCATCTGTGTTTTAATAGTTGGCAATATATTCACATTCTGTTTACACAATAAGATATGTTATCTCCTTTGGAATAAAATAGGAAAAAGAACGCAAAGCTCAGCATTCGCGATTCGCTTGTGCAGTTTGTAGTACATAATAAAGGATCTTTCATGAAGCAGGTGTTCAGTTCATATTGCTAAATAAATATGAGCGACATCAGGCTCTGGGGAAAAAAGAACAGACTTATGTGTGAAGAGCATAAAAAAGGTTCTTGATGGAATAGCAGATTTTCACCCTCACACATACTCACAGCTGATAACTTCCACGTTAAAATTTATAGTGGTAGAAATGGTAGAATTTGTGTGTAAGTTTTTACTAGTACCCGTCCAACCTGAGTTAGAGCTCTACAAAGCTCTACAGAGCTCTACAAAGTTAATTACTCAACTTCTGATAACATTGCAGGGGAGTGCAGTGCTTTTGCAGGATTGCAGTGAAGAAAGTAGGAAATTAATTAAGAGAGGACACTGAACTAGAAAACGTACTTAAATTTTTGGTAGTTATTATCACTCTGTATTTCCTTAGCAAAGAAGTTAATGTATGAGTATATTAATAGTAGCTAACCCTCATGCAGTACTCACTATGTGCCAGATATTGTTCCATGTGATTTATAGCCATTTAAAATTCATAATAACTTGTTGAAATATGTTCTATTATCATCTTCATTTTACAGATCAGGAGATTAAGCAATAGAGAGTCCTGTAACTTGCTTGAAGTCACACGAAGTGGAAGAACCAGGATTAGAATCCAAGCAATCTGGCTCCAGCATCCCTGTTACTAACCATCTAGCTATGTCATGACTTAGAGTTTACGACCAAAATGTGTGACCAGCTGCATCAAGAATAACAAATATAATAATCGTCAAACTATGTGACATCAAGCATTGTAATTTTTACGTTAGGAGCTGTATGACAACAGACATTTAAGAAGATGTGGTTATTTTGACCTTGACTTAGTTCTCTTTTGAGAAAACTGTGTGAGCTGTACAGGTCTGAACTGAGTGAGAAAACAAAGGAAATCAGATGCAAGCCCTTCATGGAATCAAGAATTGCTTTTTGTGAAAAGAATTCAAATATACTGCAGAACATAAATCAGGTTGAAACGTAGGGTAGACTGTATTTATGATAAGCTGTTTTGTGTTCGTCTTCCCTTGTTTCACAGTCTATCCTGGAGACTATTCCAGATGTGCCAGCTCATTCCAATGGCTCAGCAGACCCTGGACAGTCGGTGCAGAACGCAGTGAGTGGTGAGTGACACAAACTCCTACTGAACTCAAGCTGTGTCTTTTTGCTTTTGTGCTGGCACTCAATTCAGTGAGAAGTGAATTTCTGAAAGCGAAATGTAAGTGTGTTTTCTCCCCTTTTTGATTCTGTCACCCGGGCCTCTCCTCCTGTCACCTCCAAACAGCCCATCTGTCATACCAGATGAAACTAATTGAACCAGATTGGAAGCAGAATTTTTTCCACCTTTACTCCCACTTCATCATTTAGAAACTACTCACTTAGGCAGTGTCTTTGATTTAGGGCCTCTCTCACAGGTAATCTGGATCTGCTTAACAGTATCAAGCAGACCAGGAAGCAGACCACTTCCAAGAACCTCTAATTATGCTCAAGTAAATGCAGCAGCAGAGCAGCTTGTGATATACAGAGTAACAGGGTTAGCTTTTAAATGGGCCTCTTCCACTTGAGCATTGGATACTCTGCATGGGCTCAGTATGGAATCTCAAATCCTCCTTGTAAGAAATAGGCCCCTTTAGGCCACACTTTTGTGATTCCTCAAAATTTTCCCTAAATAATGCACCGTCTTCTCAGATACAGCAGAACCCCATACTTGCAGCATTAGCTTCAAAACTCAAATAAGTTGGGGTGATGAAAATGTTCTAAAATTGATTGATGGTTGTACAACGCTGCAAATATCCTAAAAACCGTTGACTATACACTTCAAATAAGTGAATTCTAGGCATGTGGATTACATTTTCATAAAGCTCTTTCCAAAAAAAAAGAAAAATCGAAGAGAATGGATTTGCTGTAAATTATTCCACATCATTCTATTTGCTGCCATATTGTTATTCAGTTCAACTCATACCACTAAAAGATAAAAGTCTGCCTGGAGTAGTCTGGTGATTTGGAGTATCGGCCCATATAATGAACACTGTCCAAAGAATCTGTCCATAGGTCCTTAAGAAATTAGCATTTTATTTAACAATCTTACTCTGATTTGCATGCAAGCCTCTGTATGATGAGTGAAAATCTTAACTGTGCCCTCATTATTTTCTAAGTTCTTACTGTATCCATTTATTGTGTTTTAATTCAGTATAACTGTTTAGAATTTTAAATTTGTTGATTTACAAATTTCTCTGTTAAACTTTTAATTGAGATTAACTAGGTCTTCTGTCATTTCTATCTATTGTTCCTTTTGTTCTGTTTGGTTTTCATTTAGTCACTGTCTATAGAAGAGGGTAAAAGAGATGAGCTCTTTTTTTTGCAATCAAATAATTCTTTTCATGACATATGAACAGTTTTGCCAGGCAATGAAACAAGATGGCAAGCCAAACTCTTAGTCAAAAATCAGATTTAGGGTTTACTCAAATGATTTCACTTGTTTTTGGTAAGGAGTCTATTGTCTTAATTTCAGACTTGAGAGAAACATGGATACGGGACAGTACTTGTCACCCATTTAGCTTTGTAAGGTGCATCATACGAGGTCAGGTAACGATACAGAATCACAGAATTAGGATTAATTCACCTGAAAAAATCTAGCAGTGAAGGGCAAACTGAATTTGAACAAATCTTAGGAGGCACAGTTCCACAGTTTGGGAAAAACCCAAGAGGAATGAAAGTAGGCAGGAATTTTCTGTGGGGCCTCACCCTTTCTCCCTCTGCTTTAAGCTTTTGCTTCCCCAGTAGCAGCAACGTTGGGTCTGGATGGACTTAATTTTAATATCATGAGAATATATAGAAATATTTCATTTTGGTCTTTCTAATTAATCTTCAGTGCTTTTCATGAGACATAAACATCTAAAATTAAAAACATCAGATTAAATAGAAAGTTTGCTTGGATAACGATTATAGAAGTTTGTTCATGTGGAAATCTGATGACACTACATTAATTGCTTAACTGAAATCATTCTGGGTGAGTCTAATGCTTTTCCTGGGATGTAAACATTCTAACGTACTTATGGATTAACTTGTAAATATTTTGTGCTTATTTTACAGTAAATGGTATTGATTGATTAAATGGCATATTAAGTATTCCACATCCTCTGTTCTTTAGATGATGAATATCTGGAAAAGGACATTCCACTACAAGCTGAAGAGCTGTCCTTTGAGGTATCTTATTCAGAAATGGTTACAGAGGCTCCAAAAAGAAATAAATTTAAGAAGTCAGATTTTAAGAAAGAAGACTATATTTTACCTGTAAGTAAAAACCTTTCATGACTATTCCACTAGCTTCCTGTGACTTCTCTGTGGGACAAACTAGGATTTTTTAAAAGAATTTCTTTGTGTGTGCACAAGGGCATGGGGAGAGGCCAGGTATCAATGTTGCATCACACCAGGGACATTATTTGTTGTGCAGTACACAGCCTGCCTGGCTGTACCTGGCAGCCCTGGGTTGAGGAAGAGTTGCTAGGGTATATGCTTGAGTACTGCTTTATAGATGAAATAGGATTTCCACTTGGCTTGTGTGCTTTCATGCACTTTATATCCTTACGTTACTTATAGGTTGATGCCAGTTCTAACTGTAACTGTATACCTACTTGTGCATTAGAAGCCACATGTCATGACGGGGCACTGCAGAAAGTCACAGTCATTGACAATAAGAAGTGAGAGCTGGGCTTCCCTGGTGGCGCAGTGCTTGAGAGTCCGCCTGCCGATGCAGGAGACGCGGGTTCGTGCCCCGTTTCGGGAGGATCCCACATGCCGCGGAGCGGCTGGGCCCGTGAGCCATGGCCACTGAGCCTGCGCGTCCGGAGCCTGTGCTCCGCAAATGGGAGAGGCCACAACCACGTAAGTGCCCCCAAAAAAAAAAAAAAAAAAAAAAAAAAAAAAAAAAAAGAAGTGAGAGCTTATAGGGCAGACACTAAAAACTCATCAAAAATAAATTCAAGAATTTGTAATATTATTATGGGATGGGAAAGTAGAGCTACATACTTCATTAGCCTGAAAGCCTCATTATATATATCCAGGATAATTATATTCTGAAAGCCCAATACAGGAAATATGCTACGCTGATCTATTTGCTACTCAGTCAATGCATTTGTGAAGAGTTCAAGAAGTGGAGTCCTGAATATTCTGTGCTGATCAGGGCTGGAGGCCTGATGAGCAGGGCTCAGGCAGTTTCAGGGCTAGAGGAATGAGTCATCTAGAACCAGGCAGAGGCTTTGCCCCAGGTGGCCTGGACCATTCCTGTGATGGAGGGGAAGAGGACAGGGCAAGAATTGTAAGACCCACCAGGTGCCTTCTATGGGCCAGACACTGCAGTAGGTATTCTAGTTCTCATCATCCTAGTGATTTCTCCCATTTTACAGTTGAGGAAACTGACGCCCAAACAAGCTAAGTAACATATCCAAGTCTTCACAGCTAATAGGAGGCAGAAACAGGATTTAAACCTACACGTATCCATCTTCAGAACCCCTCCTGGACCCTATGCAGCCTCTATGTCGGAGGGCACAGTGGCATTCTGGGACAAAAGAGGGAACCCGGCTCTGGGACTCTGGTTGCAGGGGGAGTCCCTCTGAATCTTTGGAGAGAATTATCCAAGAGAGGATGCTGACCCCCAGTCTCCTCATCATGTCTGTTTCCTCCTGAGTTTGGGCTCACCTGGGGTGCAGGGCAGCCTCCCATGAAGAGCTCTGCATAGGGTGTAGCACGTAGTGTCAATAATTGCTCAGTAATGATTGCAGTTCTTGTTGTGTTGCTGTTGTTGTTATGTGTTATTGTCATGTGGGGCCTTGGTCTCAGAAAGAAGGTAAAATAACCAAGTGTTTAATAGCGCAAGGTATGCCTCAGACCACACCCTATGTTTTGTTGTTTAGCTTTTAAATACTTGGAATTTCAAAGAACAGCTGTTGAATGAATGAGTAAATGAATGAATGAATGAATTGGTAGATGCTTTAAAAATCCCAAGGAAGCCCTGGTTTAGGGAACTCCTATGGAGAATGTATACTTACAACTTTGTAATTTAAATAACTATTGTATATTTCTACTTTAGCCATTTTCTTTCAATACCAGGTTTTCTGAGAGCAAAGTATTTGTTATATATTTTATATATATACTTAAGTATAAAATTTATATTTTACTTATTATGTAATTATATATTAACTTATATAATACTTATATTTTATTATTATTACTTATATGTAATATTTCTGTTATTTATTACAAGAACAATCTCTTTTTAAAGGTCTTACTTCTTATAGTCTTCACTTCATAGTATTTCTGGACTGTTGAAGGGTTTTTTATTGTTCTTTTAGTGTATTTTGTTTCCTAGTGTGGAAATGGAGAATATAACAATATAATTGGCTTCAAAATGATAGTAGAATTATTTGGCACTTTCTATGCATTTTTCTTTTTTAAGAATATTCTGAATTACCTAAATTTGATTTTTAAGGTGGAATAACTATTGTCTCAGCAAGCAGGTGCAATCAGTTTCAGTTGAGAAATTACCTACATTCTTTACATCACAGTTGTGATGATGACGTTATGGTATACTTCAGATCACTGTTTTGTTTCAATTTAGTGTAGTAGTGATCTGCAGATGTTCTAAAAATCATATTCATAATCTTTCTGTGATGCAGCATGCTCCTCAGAGATTTTTTTTATGAATAGCATGTCTTGCTGTACAGATTTAGAATGTCCAGGTGGCATTTGAATGAAGGTATAATAATTTTCCTTTGCCATAAAAAATAAATATCCTCAATATGTATTTTAGAAATTTATTGTTCAGAAAACCAGATTTGGCCTAACTGAAGCAGGAGATCTGTCTGCTGAAGACATGAAGAAAATCCGCCATCTCTCTCTGATTGAATTGACGGCCTTTTTTGATGCCTTTCGTATTCAACTAAAAAGAAACAAAACGGAGAAAGTAAAAGGACGAGGTATTAAGACTTATTCTGAAAACAAAACAAAACAAAGACTTATTCTGGCTTTAACACTTTGATACATGGGAATAAGACGGTGCTTTTCTGATTCTTTTTTCTTTCTCGCCTATTTTACAATGAAGACAGTGGGATTTTTGGAGTTCCTCTTACAGTCCTGCTGGAAAATGACCGAAGGAAAGATGCTGGAGTGAAAGTTCCCCTTGTGTTACAAAAAGTGAGTTCAATGTAAATAAAGGGGGAGTTAATAGAGCCCTGTGCTTGCAATGTGCTATTTGTAAACCCACTAATGAGTTTTCCTTTAGATTTAAAGACACTAAAGCCCCATTAGGACTTGGGCCTTGGTGATTTCCAGGTTTCCTCCATACATCCACATGACATCCACAAACACTTGGGCATGTCTGCCTTGCTGAGAACTTCTGGAGCCTGTTTCATTGTCTGATCATAAAGCATCAGGTGATGAGTGCAGATGCTCTGTCACATGGCTTCCTTCAGTTATATTTCTTTGAATATTTAAAAAATGTTTTTTGTATGGATGTATGTGTTTGTGTGTGTGTGTGTGTGTGTGTGTGTATTTGATTATTCTGTCCCGTATAAGAGATGACTTAATTATTAGCAGTCCATTTACTAATCATACAAGTATTTGCTGAAATATATCACAGGGTGGGTGTTTTTAAATGTGTATGTATAATTGTTTAAATGAATTTTCCAGACAAAGCTAAATAAAGTCTAAAAATCAGCTTATTCTGGTGGTGTTTGAGGTATGACTGAGAAGGTACGATCCACTTAGACAAAGAAGAATTTTGGTTTGGGAGGTTTTGAAACTGATATTACCTGAACTATCGTATGTGGTTGTCTCTGTGACCATCACTGGTTAATGGCTCATTTGCTTCTGTGTCACGTTTTTTTATAGCCAGCAATTTACACTGGTTTAATTATGCATTTATTCAACAGTGACATCCGGTGGCACAAGTAAAATTCCAAGCCCTAAACACAAATCTTGTTGAATTTTCAATTCAGTTTTTAAATGATATGTGAAAATACTGAGTGAGGAAACATACTTACTTTATTCACAATAACAATTCTATGTCTCTTTACGATCTTCCTTAATTTTGCTGCCAATACCTCAAATTGAGCTGCTCCTCAAATCAGGTGATTGATTGGCTGCCAATAGGAGCAGGGAGGATGGCAACCAGGGGGCCAGAGGATGCTGGCGACACCCAGTGTGCGCGTCTGTAGGGCACCTCCTCTGCACCTGGCTGTCTGTATCTTGTCATGTCTGGACAGCACCGAGCAGCCCCAGGAGGTCGGTGTTATCATCTCCCTTCTACTGGTGAGGCAACGGAGGCATTGTAGGGTGAGATAACTTGCCCGAGAACACACAAGAGGTAGACGCAAAAAGGAGCGCAGTATGTATATCCAAGGCCAAGTCCATGGTGACTGTAAGATTTCCTTTCGTTCCTTGGATTAGAACCAGAATAATGCCCTTTGTCCTCTAGTGAAAGGACAGAGTCTGAAGAAAATGCATAAAAATCTAAGGCTGAGAAGATTCAGCACAAGAATTTATATCGTTAAGTAGGTGCAAAATCCTAGCACATGGAAGGTGCACAATAAATGCTAGTTAAAACTAAATCTGGGTTTATCTTGTATTAGCATCTCAATAGGTGCTAGCTCTAGTTACTGCTCCTCATTTAAGACAGCTTGAGGCATTGCTCTTCTACTCCTGTGGGAGAGTCTTTTCTTATGAACGTGTTTCTTCCTCCTAAATATCTACGTCTCTTCATACCTACAGGAGCTACCTTAGTTCCAGGCACCATCATTTCATGAAGGGAAAATAGCAGAGTCTCTGGATCCTGCTCTTGCTATGTGGACGTGGGCAGATCCTTTCTCCTTTCCATGCCTCAGTCTCCTCAGCAGTAGAATGGGGATTCCACTAGTATCCGCCTCATAGGATCATTGTGAGGGTTAAGTAAGTTAATGTACGTAAAGTGCTGAGAATGTTATCCGACACATAGTAAGTGCACAATCAATGTTAGTGTTTATTATTATTTAATAATAAACTATCATCATTACTATGAGAGCTCATGAGACCTATAAGCCTTTACAGTATGTAATCCCTTGGTCAGATTTCGAGAATCCCTATAGTTTCTTAGCCAGAATAGTGCAACTAATGATAGTAAATTCAGGGTCTTTTCTTATCGGTCAATCTGCAGAAAGAGATACAGTAATCAGATCTTAAAATAGTTAAGTGGCAGTGTAGTTGCTTGGTTAAGAGCACAAGCTTGAGAGAGTTGGTGCCATTACTTTTGAGGTTGACCCTGGGGAAAGTGGAAAACAGCTCTAAGTCTCCATTTCCTTATTTGCAAATTGGAGGCTAATGTTGACCTCCTGGGAGAGTGTGAACACTTAACTAGGCGTTCAAGTACCAGGCATGTATATATGCTTGGTAATGTATCGATTGTTTTCATCATCATTATTGTTTCAAATGTTTGTGATCACATGGAAGTATTTATTTTTGTAATGTATCATTGCTTTCCAGTTCTTTCAGAAAGTTGAAGAATCGGGTCTGGAATCTGAAGGGATTTTTCGGCTTTCAGGATGTACTGCCAAAGTCAAGGTACCAAACATTTTCTCTCTTCCTCATTAGAGATCTCAGCTAGCTAGACCCAAGTTCGCACAGGCATCAGGTGTGTCTAGTTGTTTGTTGTTTTTTTGATACTACCACTTGGCCCTATAGAGCTTTCCTCAATACCTGTGTTCCATGATCCTGAGTTGTGTATTCCTTTAAACTAAAACAACAACAATAAAAAGCCAACAACAATGAAAGAACACATCAATTCACTATCAAAAACTGCTGCTTGTCTTTAATTTGGTAAAGTTGAAATGTCCCATCATTGTTTTTTGTGTTAAATACTTTAGCTTTTTTGTGTTCCTCTCAGTCATGGAATTCACTAAGCCAGTATTAGATGATCCCTGATTTCCATTGTCAATTGCTTCAAACTTAGAAACATTCTTTGCCTTTCCTTTTAATGGAAGTCCTTGTAAGAATTTGTAGGAATGGCTGTAACCACTAGAACACTCACTCAGCAGTTCTAAAACCCAATTCCATTTAAGGTAATGTTAGTTTCTACATATAAAACCACCCATGCAATGTGAATTCCTTTACTTTCCTACTTCTGTACGGTGGGACCTTTAAAAAAAAAAAAAAAAAAAAAAAAAAAAAAAAAGAATTGTTAGAGAAGAAAAGCTTTTCTCATAAATTTCCAGTAAGATATCCCACTTTGTGAGCCGGTGCGCATCCACGATGAAGAGTCCCTCCCTGCCCTGTACACTCCCCTGGTGGGTGGGCATGGAAACTTGAGCAGTTCTCAATAATGAATCCTTGAGAAAAAAGTCTCGGGGAGAGGGAAAAGTGAACTTGGTTGTGTTTGAACTAGTAAAAGGAATTGTGTAGGGGCAGGAAAGCATCTCTTCACTAATTCATCTGGGCACATGTTTTGGGAAATTCTAGTTGTATCAGAAGTCTCAGAGTTTTTATATAGATGTATGATGAGATATTTTTCAAAGGGGAAACTGAGAGTAAATAGGCTGTGTCTATTGGAAGCTCCAGAAAGCAGGTGTTGGGACAGAGTTAGGAGTAGAAGACGGTTATTGAGGGACCGTGCTTCTCAAGGATCAAGGGGGAGGAGGTGGGCTCGGGCAGGCTGAGCCGCAGACTGGGTGCAGGTGGGACTCTCTCCCTGTGCCCTGTCAGCCCCACGCTGCGCTGTCACTGCTGGGGCTGCCTGCAGGGAAGGGCCTGAGGCCAGTCAGAAGGTGCCAGCAGCTGGGGAGTCAGCTACCTGCATTTTTTGCCGATGAACAGCCAGTTCTTTTTTGAAGGGAGACCTGAGCAGTGCTCTGCACTTTGCCAGTGACAGAGGGATCAGCACATTTGGAGGGGCTGTGACTTCCCTGGAAGTAGAAATTACTAAATACTGGCACAAGTTCATTAGGAAGGCAGGAAAATTCCTAGTGGATCCTTAAGGTTTGTCCTCTCTGAATGGGATCTACTTTTTGTTTCAGGTTCTCACAGGTGTGGTTTTTATATATACTTCTAAATAAATGTATCCTAAATCTGAGGACAAAAGCTGTTACTAGTTTTGGTTAAGTCTTTGTGGTTATATCTGTAGAGTCAGAGAACCAAAATGAAGTCAGGAAAACGGATTTCCTAAACAGAATTAGACTCCATCCCTCTAAACCTCCCTGTATAATAGGGAGGTTGTATTCGCACATATTCTTACTGACTCTTTCTGTGTGTGTGTGTGTGTGTGTGTGTGTGTGTGTGTGTGTGTGTGTGTGTGTGTAGGGGGAACATAATGGATATGACTTAAAATTCTATTTTTGAAAATAATCAAAAGGAGACAGCATTGCACGACATTTCTTGTGTGTATGAATTTAAACATCATAGCACAAGTTGCCTTTCTTTAGCTAATCTTTGACTGAAAAATACTTATCAAAGGCCAATAATTCATTTAACATGTTCTCATAGGCACATGCATTCCTGAACCACATTTAGGTAAAAGTCCCTTTTGGCCCTTAATAGGTTTTATGTAGTTTTAGCCTATTTATTCCATCTCTTATTAGTCCAAAAAATGTAATCCAGATGTTTTCGTGGTTTAAGCTCCAAGAAAGCCAATGTAAAAGAACTCCGGGCCAGTGAACAGAAACGGGGGTATTGCAGTTAGAAAGGCATTGTAACTTGATATAGTAAAGGGGCCTTTATTTCTCTTCTTTGTTCAAACTTTAAACTTTAAAAAAAATTTTCATCTACAAATGTGCTTGGGGAAAGAAAGTTAAAAAAAAAACCATTGTAATTATCCTCAAATTGTACCAAGTGGATGACACTAACACTAAGGTATCATTATGAAGAAGCCAGCCTGGGTTGTGCTTTCAAGTCCCGGTTAGACTCACAGGGGAGTAGCCCTGGGGGATGCTGCTGGTTTTAGCCGCACGGGGCACATAACTGCCCAGCCCCATTCCTGGATGTGAGGCCTCAGATCATTTGGAACCAATTTAATGCTTTGGTGTTTCCAGTGATTTTCTTTTCCAAAAATGACAGAAATTTGAGCCAAACCCCAGGGAATATATTTCATGGAAGAAGGCAGACTGGTTTGACATGCACGGTTTTCTTTTTTGACTCGTGTCAGTTATTCGGAGGCTGCTCTAAATGTTTTATAGTGATGTTACCTGGTCTGCTGGTTTCCCTTCCTGAACCGGTTTTTGAAGCTGAAAGCAGGTTATTTGCATTTTTATAAAATTACCTCAGAATTGGAAGCAGGTTAGATATTTGCTCAGAGGAGATTGAAGGACATGGCTCCTGACCCTTGCCTGGTGTTCTCATTAACAGTGGACAGAAAGCATGACTTTTTTTTAACATGTACACGTCTCTGGCAAGGAAAACTCAGCCCCTGGTTCATATGGCCTCATGTTTAGGACCACTGTGGACATGCCAGCTCTGCTCCTACTTCCACTGTGCTCTGGTCCAGACTTCTCCGTTTGTCTCACGCTGGCCGTCTAGACAAGACGAGGTGCTGTTATTACCAGAATATCCACACCACATACACATGGGTTTCCCGTAGTAATAACACTAGAGGTTGTAGCAGACCCAGACGAGGGGAGGGTAAGTGCAGCCAGCATTTCCTGAGCACTCTCTGTATGCAGGCCCTGCCCCCTGAGCTCTACATTGTAGTATCCAATTTAATCTCTGTGAGGTTGTTCTAATATCCCTCTTTAAAAAAAAATATGATTGCTCTTGACTTTATTTTATTTATTTATTTTTTAAAATTTTGGCTGCACCACACGACATGTGGGATCTTAGTTCCCCGACCAGGGATCGAACCCGTGCCCCCTGCATTGGAAGCTCGGAGTCTTAACCACTGGATCGCTGGGGAAATCCCTAATATCCCTCTTATGGAGTGAGAAACCTCACAGGCCTACGACTAGGCAGTTGTGGAATTGGGATAAACACCTAAAGAATGTGGTTATAGAGCCTGCCCTTGACCCTGGTGCCATGTTGCCTCTTAGGTGGCAGGGAAGTAGAGACAGGTTAGAATCACCTTAGTGTTTCAGGTAGCTTCCTGTAGCACAGGTCTGTGGGCAGTGGATTTGAATTATTCTGCTCTTGCCAATACTTCCTGCCCTCTTGCAAAACAGTGGGCCGGAAGTATTGGCAGTGGTACCAGGCAGTGGACAGAAAACATTTACTCCTCCCCCTCTATTTCCTGTTAACAACACCTCCATCTGCCTATTACTCCAGCTAGCAATCTGAGAGTCATCCTGGACTGGTATTTCTCCCTCTGAGTCTCATGTTCAATCCATTACTGATTCTTGAGAATTTTCCCTCCTAGGCGTTTCTTAAATGCCACCTCTTCTTTCTATCCTACAACTGCTTATCCAGGTTAAGTCCTCGATGATCCATCACCAGAAATGGTGCCCTAGCCCGATAACTGCTTTCTGCATCTCTGGCCTGCTTCCCAGCCAGTGCCGAGCTCCGAGCTCCCCCAAATCACTTTTCCGCCTGCCTGTCAGGAAAGATAAATCTCACCTTGTCATTCTCTAGCTTCTCTTACATGTTCAAGGCTGGAAGACTTAGGCGTCTCATGAGAATAAAGCAAAGGCCTTAAGGATTTTCAGTTTCCCCTTTTTTTTTTTTTAAGAATCCTTTTTGAAGCAGTTATTGTCAGTTGGGAAACTGACAATAACTGCCGGGTATTACTGGTAAACTCTAATTCAAGGGAGCAGTAGAATGGGGGGCACTGGTCATCAAATGAATTAATAATGTAAAATGTATAACCCAAGTAAAACTTAAGGGCGATTAGTGATTGTTTTAAAAAGTATTTACACAGTGTTCCCAACCTTACGAAAGACTGGGCAAACATGCAGACATGTGGAAGACATGTGTACGTCTTGGCATAAAACTTTGCTGTAACTGCTCCAGGAAGATATCATTGGTGTGCATGTTGCAGTGAGGTCAGAGTTCCTTTGTTGGGATATTTCTCATTCTGTATGGGAACTAGCCAAGAGGCATACATTCTTGATCTAATTTAGAAACAGAAGACAGGGTGGCAGAAGGAAGGCATCATTGAAGAAAAGGGGGAAGTGGAGGCTTTGTCAAAATCTAGCAGTGCATTTATGATGTGGGCATAGGCAGTGTTCTGCCAAAACCATATAAACGAAACTATGATCTGAGTAAAGAACTTTTGTATTTGTATATTTTAAGATTAACATTATTCTAAAAGGATTTTAGAAAACTTAAAAAAGATATTTTCAGAAATAGCCATTTCAGTTCTTTAATCATGTTGAAAAAAGATAAGCTTAGTAGATATTGGCTTTTCAATCTAATTACAAAAATAGTTTATGTAATGACAGTTTTTAAAGGGGGAGGATCAGGTGGTAAAACTCACTGTTTTCCTTGATTTTCAGCAATACCGTGAAGAACTGGATGCCAAGTTTAATGCTGATAAGTTTAAATGGGAGAAAATGTGCCACAGAGAAGCTGCAGTAATGTTGAAAGCATTTTTCAGAGAACTACCCACCTCTCTCTTCCCTGTGGAATATATACCTGCTTTCATCACTCTAATGGAAAGTAGGTGGAAGAAGTTAAGTGTGAATGGACTAAGTTACAAGGTCAATAAAGTGGCACAGAGCAGAAGAAAGATGCATAATCAGATGTGATCATAAATGTTTAGATTTGCTATTTCCTGGTACTGCTTGATGAGCTATTGAGTTTGATGGTAAACTGTCATCTCTTCACATGTTTATATTTCTGAGTCTGGTTGATATGATTTAGAGGGGTTTATAGTCATTAAAAGGCAGAGAGGGTTACAGAAAGACCTGGCTCTTGAGATTTGAATTCCTGCTCAACCATCTGTTAACTAAGCAGTCAACCTTTATAGCTTCACTGCTGCACCTGTAAATTACACATAATAATTACTTGTCAGGGTTGTTGTGGGTATTGAATGAAGACATCTAGGATAGTGCCTGGTGTATAATAGTCCTTCAAAAAATATAAGGTCTCTCCCTTCTTTAAATCCGAGGTCCTGGGTCTGATGATGTAGCATGCAGTAAGAAGGTGTTTTATCTCTGAAAATTACAGTATCACACAGTGTTTCTGAAACTTAAAAAGTCACATAGATGAGGCCTTAACTGAGGCACTTGGATAAAAAGTATAGAAACTGGACAGTGTGTGTTGTATTTGGCAGTCAGGAAGTAATTTCATCCTAAAGGTTGAATATTGAAGAAGGTGTGATGAGAGAAATTTGGAAAAGTAGGATGAAGCTACATAGTGTGGGCTTTGACTACGAACCTGAGGAATTCAGGAGTCACAAGTCTAAATATGTATAAGCATGCTAAGTAAATGGTGTTTCTATATGGACAGAAAGGGACTGTGGCCAGATTGAGAGGACATATCCCATATAGAGAGGTTGGCCACTGCTCAGCTCTGGATGATGGTTACCATGCAGGAGTGAAAGCCAAAATCCAGGCTTTAATGATGAAACTCTTCATTTGAAAATGTCAGCCACAAATTCAAATTTTAAAACACTACATGAGCGCAGCAAGTATTACCCGTATCTGCCAGTTTACAACCTTCTGCAGGTTGACCAGAAGTATAAAATCCTTAAAATCACAATCATAGAAAATAATAGTCACATCCTAAGTTGTATGACAAAATTTGTCCTAAAAATTAGTTGGTTCTAAATCTTTAAAAATTTTAACTAAACCAGATTCATAAAATAATCCACAGGGAAAAGAATATGATAAAACAAGGCAGTCCTTTTCTAAGCTTTAATTGATATGCTGTGACCAGTATCTCTCCTTTGTATGATGTAGTATTTTTGTTTTATTAAAGAAAGAGAGAACTAGTTCTCTTCATTCTTTATTTTATTTATTTATTTATTTTAAAGAAGATGTTGGGGGTAGGAGTTTATTTATTTATTTATTTATTTATTTATTTTTGCTGTGTTGGGTCTTCGTTTCTGTGCGAGGGCTTTCTCTAGTTGTGGCAAGCGGGGGCCACTCTTCATCACAGTGCGCGGGCCTCTCACTATCGCGGCCTCTCTTGTTGCGGAGCACAAGCTCCAGACGTGCAGGCTCAGTAGCTGTGGCTCACGGGCCCAGTTGCTCCGCGGCATGTGGGATCTTCCTAGACCAGGACTTGAATCTTCATTCTTTTTTATTTCAGGTATTGTATATTTTCAGTTCTAGAATCTCCAGTTGCTACTTTAAAACTATTTTCTATTTATCTGCTGACATTCCCTATCTTTTCATTCATTGTGAGCATATTTACCTTCATATCATTGAGCATAGTTATGATAGCTGCTTCATAACTAGTTCCAACATCTGGGTCATCTGAGGGTTGGTCTCTGTTGACTGTCTCTTCCCTTGAAAATGGGTCACTGTTTATGTCAAGTAAGTTTAAACTGTATCCAGAACCTTGTGAATATTTTTTTGGAAACTCTGTGTTCTGTAATATTTCTCCAAGGAGTGGGTTTTTTTCGGTTAGTTTTGTTTTTTGTTTGTATTTAAGCAGACAATTTTCTATTTAATACTTACCTGTGCTACTCCACATGTGCATGGTTTATGGGGTGAGCCAACATTTGGGTGGATTTTACACCAGAATTAGGGCCTTCTCTCTTTGACCTTCCTTTTCTGGGATTCCCCATAACTTCCCAGTGGCTGTGGTCATCCTGAACCCTGTCCTCTCTTTGTTCAGGCCAGAAAGATTGGGGTTTTCTTTTGGAATTTCAGCCACCTCATGCCATTGCTGTCCATGGCCTGACCTCAAACTAAAAGCCAGGAAATTGGACACTCTCCCTGTGCCATTCCCTAATGCCAAGTGTCCAATGCCCTCCTAAATCTGCCTGCTTTTGTTCATTCTCCACTGCCTCAGGTAGTTGTTTTTTGTACATTGTCCAGAGTGTACAGTTGTCTTAAGGAGGGTTAATTGGGTAGGAGCTTATTCAGCCATACCAGAAACAGAACTCCCCCCCTCAATTTCTAAGTCAGAGAAACACAGGATCTTCTGTAAAGTTTGCTGTCCTGGAAAACAGGCTGCAGAAGTCTTAACTTCACTTTGATCTGTAGTTTATATACTGAACAATTCATCAAAACAAATGGTGCCACAGAGGATTTTTTTGTTTTAGTTTTTCTTTTTTTGGTCTTATGGAATTATACAAGGAGGAGTCAATCACCATGTAAAACCTGTTTGGAGAATCATATTTAAGAAGGAAATCATATTTAGTTTTTCTTAATATCATTATTCAGATGTTGAAGCCAGTACACTTCAATGAAGGGAGAGAATCTGGAAAATATCCTGAAAAGTTTCACAGGACGATCCACATTTCTTTGTATGACTTTGAAAGTGAAAAATACTATATTGTCGTGATTGATTTGATAACTAGCCAACCCCACAGGAAGCCCAACGTTCTGGGCTGCTGCCATCGGGAAGAATGGCCTTTTTGCCACCTGGAGTAAGCTCTCGTAATGAGAGTTTCTGAAGGGAAGAACTGTGGACATCTGTGTGTTTAAGCTGCCCCTGTATTTACTCTAAAACGGAGGTCAGAGAATGTAGTCTTTTCCACTAGTTAATTACTTTCTCTTTTCTCTTTTCAAACTTGGTCCAAAAATTGCCCATAAAATTAAAAGACTAATAGTTCATCAATCAAACCTTAGATACTTTCATGAAAAGTGTAATAACTTTCTAAGAAAATAATGACCTCAGGAGTGAAAAAAATGTGACTCTTTAACTAGGGTGTAATAAATGAATTAACTACAAAACTATTAACCACAAAACAGTGTAGGGCCGGGTTTCCTAAGCAAAATGAAAATGGATTATTTGCCAGTTTGGATTTTTAATCTTAAAGGGAACTTTGTAATTTATCTGGAATTAATGGAAATAGAGAGCCTGCATCTGCATCTATTGTTTCCCCCCAGAGGTTTTTTTTGGGTTGCATTGGAAAATTATAGACAGCCCTTAGCCTGCAATTTATGCACTAAAATAATGTCTTATCTGTCCCCAAATGCTTTGTACTGAGATATACTCCTGCTAGTGCCTGTTATTCAGGCAAACTCACATCAGTGTGCATTAGCCATTTTCAAAAACAACCTGGACCTGTGTCATTTTTGTTTACAAATTTGACATAAATTTTTAAAAATCCACATGGGGATTGTGCTGAGACAATATGATATGAGCCTGTAAATACTCCTCCCAACTGTTCCTTCATTACGTGGTTACACACAATAATCATGTACTCCTAACTCGGATGCACACGACCTCCTGTGACCTAGTAGTTTGTCACGAGAGTGTTTCCACTACTGTAAAGCTAAGTAACTCTGTAGACAGCTGACTGCCTTTATCCACTGAGTCATAAATGGATAGATTTTCCTTCAACTTGAGAGCTCCCTGGGGGTTACAGAATGTCATGCTTCCCTGCAGGACCTCCCTACCAAGAGACCATTTTGGGGAGAATACAGAGAGAACAGGCAAAGCCTGGATGCTCTGGAATACCCTACGTTTTCAGCACAGCTGGCTGTGAATTATCTAGTTGTGGATAGATTTCCTAAAATCCTTTCCCTAAAATGGGAAAAGAGCCAATATTGAGAACACACAGTAGTAGAATGCCAACTCTCTGGTGCCATCTTCTGGATCTCCAAAGATCCAACTGTGGTTACCTTCCCTTCATGTCCATTTAAAAGCTAAAATAAACGTCATTGATCATAATAACAAGAGCAAACACCTATGGAGGTAACTATGTACAGGTACTGGTGTAAACACTCTGTACATTAGCTCATTTAACCTTCATAATGGCCCAGTGAGGTAGGTATGATGACGATTCCCATTTTACAGATGATAAAATAGAAGCAACAGGGGTTAAATAGCCTGCCCAAGGTCTCTCAGTGACTAAATAGTACATGCAGAATTTGAATCTGGTTCTAGAATCTCTGCTCCTAATTATTATGCTTGGCTGCCTCATCGTATAGAAATAAAATTTATTTTCTCTTGAATTGAGCTTCAAGCCAACTGTTTATAGCATAAAAGTAAAGCAAGATCTATGAAAGTACTTTGAAAAGAGAAATGTTATACAGATCCAGAATAATTTTGAGGATCTCGTTGGCCACTTGCCCCTACAGTGGCATCCTAGGATGCTAAAAAGGAGTTGATAGACTGAGGTTCCTGTCCAAGTGAATAGACTTACATTGTCAGTCACAAAACCTGAGTCTTTACCACTGAAAGCTGTCAGGGCCCTCCTATGCCACCAGATGTTAGCAAGAAATGCTGTCAGAATGCATGAGCGTTATTCAAAATGTGTGGTTATTTCTGTTTTCTTGTTAGGAGGGCCTCACATCAAAGTACAGTTTCAAGCCTTACACCTCATGATCATGGCACTGCCTGAGGCCAACAGGGACACAGCCCAGGTATGTTGTATCGACCTCATGGTCTGTCATTGACTCTTATTGGTCAGAGAAAATGGCTCAGGTGGAAAAATGAAAACTGAGAGGACTTACCAACCAGCTGAGCCTGCAGCAAACCCGCTGCCTTTCCTTGTTCCCACTGCTGTTCTCCTGAGGAAGCCAGGAAAGAATGTGAATCCTGGAATCTTCTTTGAACATTTGTTTCGTTCATTCAGTCTGTTAAGAGATGTTGAGCATCTACAGTGTGCCAGGCACTGGGCGAGGGTTAGGAGTAGGAAGAAGAAGCAAAGATGGAAGATTTAAATGGAATAATGTCAGAAGTGAATGAACCCCCTGCTTTAAATAAAATTTCTAGAATGTTCATGTCTTACCATAATTCAATTTAAAGAATTATAGAATCCCAGAAGTTTACAGATCACCTGATAGGACCTTGCCATTTTCCAGTTGAAGAAAATTAAGCTCAGAAAAGTGATTTCTCCATTAATATAAAATAGAACATTTGATAGAATTGTATTCCATAGTTCTCCATCCCAAATATCCCTCCTTTTATTTCAAATTCATTTCTCTGCTTTATGTTTGTAAAAATCAAAGTTTCTGTTGCTGTTTTGATAATGATTCTGTATACAATAGGAAATCTGTTATAAGTACAACAGGTGCTTGGAATCTTTTTTTTTTTTTTTTTTGCGATAACGCGGGCCTCTCACTGTTGTGGCCTGTCCCGTTGCGGAGCACAGGCTCCGGACGCACAGGCACAGCGGCCACGGCTCACGGGCCCAGCCGCTCCACGGCATGTTGGATCTTCCCGGACCGGGGCACGAACCTGTGTCCCCTGCATCGGCAGGCGGACTCTCAGCCACCGTGCCACTAGGGAAGCCCCAGGTGCTTGGAATCTTTAAAATGAAATTGAGGTGAGGATGAGTTGGAAAAAGTCATAATTTTGAGGCCAGTAAACATGATGCTGAAAACAAAGTTGAGTCTTCGTGCTACCTCTTGTCAGACATTTCAATTTGGTGAGGACCTTTCCTCCTACCAAATGAAACCATCTATGTCAATTATATTATATCCTCCACCCAGGAATGGGGACTGGAAAAGGCATAAGAATGTCTGTTTTAATACAATTTGGTAATTTTTCAAAAGCTGGAAATTTACTAGCTTTGTTTTTTTTTTTGTTTGGCTTTGTCTGAACAATGCTTTTTTTTTTTTTTAATCCAAAGAAATGAATCTAGTATCAGATATCTGAGTCAAAGTGTCATTTCCCCTTTCATATAACTAAGAATGTAGCAATTATCAAAGAATTCAGTACATTTCTAATAGAAGATCCTCTCTGTCTGTCTCTCTCTCCCTCCCTCTTCCATTCTGAATTGTGACTGGAATGAAGATTGAAGCTAGTGTGTTGTAGAGATCAAGATGTCTGGCTCGAGAATTAGGCTTCCTTGGATCAGATCCTGGCTCTGCCACTTAATTAAGTGACGCTGGGCAAAGCTACTTAATCCCTCCCCATCTTAGTTTCCTCATCTGTAAAACAATAATAGTACCTACCTCACAGGGTTTGGAATGATGATAAAATGAGTGGAAGTATATAAAGTACTAAGAATAATGCGTGGCTCACAGTAAACCCTCAAATAAATGTTAGCTATTATCACTAGTATGTGCTGTCCATTTTCTCATTACACATACTATAGCAGAATTCAAACTTGGAAAACCAAAGAGCATCTCCTTTTAGGATTTCATCCCTCTTGGTGAATTTCAGAAAGTTCTGATAGGCATTTATACTTTGTTGGCTCAGCCAAACTTTTGTTCAGCTTTCTCAATTTTTTTTTCAATGCTGAGCACAGGTGCATGTAATCATTTCCCTTTGGTCTGCTGAAGATTCCAAAATTGAAAAGCAATACAAAAATGACACCCAAAAAGTGAAAGTTTTCAGCTTTTCGACTGAGGTATTTTTGAAGTGAGGAATGAGATACTCATTTTGTTGTTTTTATTCTTTAATTTTTTTTCTTTTTATTCACTTTATTTTCAAATTTTTTATTGAGGTATCATTGACATATAACATATTAATTTCAAGTAAGCAACATAATGTTTTGATATTTGTATACACTGCAACATGATCACCATAGGAAATCTTGTTATCCTCCATCACCATTACAAAAATTTTTTTCTTGAGAGAACTTTTAAGATTTACTCTCTTTGTAACTTTCAAATATGCAATACCGTGTTATTGACTATAGTCACCATGCTGTATGTTATATCCCCATGACATTTATTTCATAACTTATTTATTTTAAAACTCATTTTTTTAATGGACTTTCCATTCCCAAGGAAACAGAAAATAATTTTTAACACTAATGCCTTAAATTAAGAGTGAATTACTTTTCTTCCTTCACGACAAAACTGCATTTCATGTTTATTTAAGCTGTAGTGTTTTCTCTCCCTTGTTTACTGTTTAATTTTAATATTTGTCAAGCTTGTTTAAGATAAAAGAAAATAAGAAAATGCAAACTATTATTTATAGAGATCTCAACATAACAAATTCCATAAAAATGGAGCTACTTTTATGAAGCAGAGAAATGAAAAAACCCTTCACATTTCTCATTAGCACTTTTAAGCAGTTAGAGGGGAAACATGACACAGTCAACCATTCTGTAGCTCCAGACAGTTTTCCAGAGGCCCAGTGAATGGGTATGGAAATGAGTGATAGTAATCAGTGATACCTTTTCCTAATTTACAATGACTAGAGTGATACCGTGCTGTTTCCTATCAGGCCCTCATGACATTCTTCAATAAAGTCATTGCCAACGAATCAAAAAACCGAATGAGTATATGGAACATTTCTACTATAATGGCACCAAATCTTTTCTTCAGTAGAAGCAAACATTCTGACTGTGAAGAATTACTCTTAGCAAACACCGCTGCCCACATCATCCGCTTGATGCTAAAGTACCAGGAGATGTTGTGGAAGGTGAGTGACAATGTGATGACTAGGATGTTCTCATGTTTGCTAGCGCCCAGGAGATGTAAAGACTCATGAGCAAGCAGTGCCCTCAGGCACAGGGAGAGGTGGGAGACAGTAATCCCAGGTTGCTGGTGGCATCTTTATCATTCCTTAAGGCTGCTCCCAAACACATTTTCCTTTAAACAGGAATCCTCATAGATTTTCCTGATCTTTACGAGGACAGAACCACAGTTCCTGGTTCCTGGATACTGAGTGGCAGAAGACAGACTCTACCAGGGAGGTTTAACTCAAGTGTTTTCCTTCTAGTCAAGCTCTGTTTCTTCTCCAGGTTCCATCTTTCTTAATCGCTCAAGTCAGAAGAATGAATGAAGCCACCATGTTGTTAAAGAAACAGCTTCCAAGTGTCAAAAAGCTGCTAAGGAGGAAGACCATAGAACGAGGGGTAATAACTAAATAAATGCACAAATATCATGGCCACCCAGGCTCTTATTTCTCACAGTGATGCACAAAGTAGCTTGTGATTTAGAACCAAAATTGTTATATTCTCATAAAGTGTCAGTCTTGTAATTATAAACATTGTGGAAATTGTGTTCATGACAGAGTACTGTGGTCTTTCCATTTTGTTGAATTATGTGCTTTGCAGTTGAAGTTTTTGAATTATCTCTGTCATGAAGATTACTTAAGGGCAAAATGGTTCTTACAAATGCTGAAAGTCAACTTTTCAGTCCCTGTGAACTGGATTTAAGGGCAATCTAGTAGTCAATATATCTAATAAGTAGAGATAGAGATTTCTGTAGTGATTGGATACTAAAAGAGTATGTAATCCTCAAGTTGTTTTGTGTAAATTCATTACATTTCAAAGAATGTTTGCCTTAGCGTGGTTGTCTGTGTGGAGACGGATAATGGAAACAGGCTTTAGAATTATCTTTATTGGTTTAATTTGAGGATGATCGTGAGGCATAGCATTTGGCCTTGAGGAGGATGCAGAGATACAGGAAACTCACTTTGTCCTTAAAGGAACGTATATCTAGTAGAGAAATATCTGGTAGAGAAATGTACACAAGAGCCATGAATATGCATTCAGTGTGAAACGTGTCGTGCAGACAGTGTGCTGGGAATCATGCAGAGGAGAAAGAAATGTGCTCCAACGTGGAAAGTGTGGAGACTTCACAGAGAAAGTGGCATTTGAGCTGCATCTTCAAGGATGGGTAGTAGCGTTTGGAAGGGAGAAAGGAGGGGAACGTTCATTCAGGGAAAGGAATAGGAAATCCCAAGGCAGTAAGGTAGGAGTATTGCTAATTGATTTATCACAAACAGGCTGAATGGCTGTGTTCCCTCATTGATTATAGGCAAAGTGACTTCAGATCAACTAGAACCAGCACATTAAATTTGGGAAAAAAAATTTTGTTTTGAGAAAAAATTCACATAATATAAAATTTACCATTTTAACTATTTCAAAATGTATACATTTTAGTATATACTTTTAGTATATTCACAAAGTTGTGCAACCATCACCACTATCTAATTCCAGACCATCTTTACCACCCCCCAAAAGAAACCCCATACCAATTAAGCATTCACTCCCCATTACCCCCTCCCCAGAATCCCTGACACATTCTTACCTACTTTCTAGCTCTATGAATTTACCTATGTGGACATTTCATATAAATGGAAGCATGTAGTATGTGGCCTGTTATGTCTGACATCTTTCACTTAGCATAATGTTTTCAAGGTTCATCCATGTTGCAGCATGTATCAGTATTTCACTTCTTATTTTTCATTTGTTTTGCATTTCTCTTGGGCATATGTTGGGTCATATGGCAACTCTATGTTGACTTTCTAGTATTTTGTTGAGAATTTTTGCATCAACTTTTTTTTTTTTTTTTTTTTTTGCGGTACGCGGGCCTCTCACTGTTGTGGCCTCTCCCATTGCGGAGCACAGGCTCCGGACGCGCAGACTCAGTGGCCACGGCTCACGGGCCCAGCCGCTTGGCGGCATGTGGGATCTTCCCAGACCGGGGCACGAACCCGCGTCCCCTGCATTGGCAGGTGGACTCTCAACCACTGCGCCACCAGGGAAGCCCTTGCATCAACTTTTATAAGGGACACTGGTCTGTAGTTTTTCATTTCTTGCTATGTCTTTGTCTGGCTTTGGTATCAGGGTAATACTGGCCTTATAGAATGAGTTGGGAAGTGTTCCTTCCTCTTCAATTTTTTGGAAGAGTTTAAGAAAGATTAGTGTTACTTCTTCTTTAAATGTGTGGTAAAATTCACCAGTGAAACCATCTGGTCCTGGACTTTTCTCTGTAGGAATTTTTTTTTGCGGGGGGGATTACTGACTTAAGTTCTTTATTTGTTATAGCTCTATTCAGATTTTCTGTTTCTTCTTGAGTTAGTATTGACAGTTCGTGTGTTTCTAGGATTTTATCTGTTTTATCTGTTTTATCTAACTTGTTGAAATACAGATTGTTCATGGTGTTCTCTTATAATCCTTTTTATTTGTATAAGGTTTGTAGTAATGTCCCCAGTTATACTTTTGATTAATAATTTGAATCCTCTCTCTTTTCTTGGTCAATCTAACCAAGGGTTTGTCCATTTCATTGGTCTTTTTGAAGAGCCAACTTTTGTTTCATTATTTTCTCTATTTTTTTTTTTTGTTATTCTCTAGTCCTTACTAAAACTCAGATCTTTGTTTCCTTCCTTATGCTTGTTTTGAGTTTAGCTGGCTTTTTTAGTTTCTTAAGGCGGAAGGTTAGGCTGTTAGTTTGAGATCTTTCTTTTTCACGTAGGCATTTACAGCTATAAATTTTCCTCTGAGCACTACTTATCCTCCACCCAGTAAATTCTGGTGTGTTGTGTTTCATTTTTGTTCATTTCAAGGTATTTTCTAATTTCCCTCAGGTCCGTTGGTTATTTAGGTATATGTTGTTTGATTTCCATACTTGTAAATTTCCTTTTGTTACTGATTTCTAATTTTATTCCATTGTGGTTATGTAACATACTTTGTATTATTTTGATATTTTAAACTTCACTGAGACTTGTTTTTTGGTCTAACATACTGTCTGTCCTGGACGGTGTTCTATGTGTACTTCAGAATGTATTCTGCTGTCATTGTCCTATGTATGCCTGTTAGATCTAGTTGGTTGATAGTGTTGTGTCTAAGTCTCTTCTGTTTTCTTTCTCATCTTCTACCTACTTCTTCTATCCATTATTGAAAGTGAAGTGTTGAAGTCTCCAACTATTGTAGAACTTTCTATTTTTCCCTTCAGTTCTTTCATTTTTGGCTATATGTCTTACATGTTTTAATCCTCAGTTTCTCCAGTACTGCCTTCATTTGTGTAAAATAGATATTTTCTTGTGTACCACTTTAATTCTTTTGTTGTTGTTTTTTACTATATATTTTTGAATCATCTTTTTAGTGGTTGCCCTGGGGATTATAAGTAACATCTTAATTTATAACAATCTAGTTCATATTAATATACCTTAAGTATATAAAAACATTTTACCTATATTCTTCTGTCCCCCCACATTATGCTGTTATTGCTGCATATTACAGCTTTATAAATTGTGTGCCCATCGACATAAATTTATAATTGTCATGTACTTGTCTTTTACGTTAGATAAGGGAAAAGTGAGGTTATAAACAAAAAATACATTATATTGCCTTTTATATTCTCCTAAGTAATTTCCTTTACTGTTATTCTTTATTTCTTCATGTGGATTCGAGTTACTGTCTAGTGTCCTTTCATTTCAGTTTGAAGGACTCTTTTTAGCATTTCTCTTAAGGTAGGTCTGCTAGCAATGAACTCTCTCAGCTTTTGCTTATCAAGGGAGTGTCTAAATGTTATAGTTTGCATCTACCAACCCCAAACTCCCAGTCTTCATTTTTTTTTTTTTTTTTTTTTTTGCGTTATGCGGGCCTCTCACTGTTGTGGCCTCTCCCATTGTGGAGCACAGGCTCTGGACATGCAGGCTCAGCGGCCATGGCTCACGGGCCCAGCCACTCTGCGGCATGTGGGACCTTCCCGGACCGGGGCACGAACCCGTGTCCCCTGCATCGGCAGGCGGACTCTCAACCACTGCGCCACCAGGGAAGCCCCCAGTCTTCATTTTTTAAGGACTGTTTTGCCAGATGGAATTTTGCTTGTCAGTTTTTTTTTTTCTTTCACAATTTTAATATGTCACCGCACTGTCTTCTGGCTTCCATGGTTTCTGCTGGGAGATCAGCTATTATTATTGAGGAACTCTTGTACTTGAATTGATTTTTCTCTTAATGCTTTCAAGATTCTCTCTTTATGTCTGTCTTTTGACAGTGTGATCATGATGTTTCTTGGTGTGGATCTCTTTGATTTTTATCCTATTTGGAGTTTGTTGAGCTATTTGGATACGTAGATCATTGTCTTTCAACAAATTTGGGGGGTTTTCAGCCATTGTTCCTTCAAACGTTCTTTCTGTTCCTTTCTCTCTACTCCTTCTGGAACTCTAACTGTGTGTACGTTGGTGTGCTGGTGTTGTTCCACAGTTGCTCTAGGTTCTGTTCATTTTTCTTCATTTTTTTTTTTTCTTCCTCTTTCAAGACTGGATAACCTCAAATGACCTATCTTCAGATTTGCTGATATTTTTCCTTCTGCTTTTTTTTTTTTTTTGACCACATCGTGCAGCTTGTGGGATCTTAGTTCCTGACCAGGGATTGAACCCAGATCCTCAACAGTGAAAGTGCAGAGTCCTAACCATTGGACAACCAGGGAATTCCCTCTTCTGCTTTCTTAAATCTGCTGTTGAACCTCTGTAGTAGGCTTTTCATTTCAATTGGACTTTTTTTTTAGCTCCATAATTTCTTTCTGGTTTCTTTTTATGATGTATTCTCTTTATTTGATATTCTCTATTTGGTGAGATATCATTCTCATGGTTTTCTTTAGTTCCTTAGACACAGTTTCCATTAGTTCTTTTAAAGTATTTAAAATAGCTTTTTCAAGTACGTCCAATGTCTAGGCTTCCTTAAGGAGTTTCTTTTGAAACTATTGACACTAATTTTTTTTTCCTGTGTATGGGCCATATTTTCTTCTTTTTGTTTTCAAAAATTAATTTATTTATTTTTGGCTGCATTGGGTCTTCGTTGCTGCACGAGGGCTTTCTCTAGTTGCGGCGAGCAGGGGCTACTCTTTGTCGCACTGTGCGGGCTTCTCATTGCAGTGGCTTCTCTTGTTGCAGAGCATGGGCTCTAGGCTTCAGTAGTTGTGGCACGCAGGCTCAGTAGTTGTGGTGCACGGGCTTAGTTGCTTGGCGTCATGTGGGATCATCCTGGACCAGGGCTCAAACCTGTGTCCCCTGCATTGGCGGGCGGATTCTTAACCACTGTACCACCAGGGAAGTCCGGGACATATTTTCTTGCCATTTTTTTTGCCTGTCTCATAATTTTTATTGAAGAATGGACATTTTGAATGTTAAAATGTGGTAGCTTTGGATTCTTCCCCCTCCCCCTGGTTGCTGCTTGTTATAGCTGTTATTTATTTGTTCATGACTTTTCTGCTGAACTAATTTTGTTATGTCTGTATTCTTTGTTTAGTGTGGCTACTGAAGTCTCTGTTCCATTAGCCTAGTGGTTAGCTGATGTTTGCACAGAGATTGTCTTAAATATCTGAAACCAAAAAAATCTCCCAGTCTTTGCAGACGAGCTCTGTGTGTTTGTGTGCTTGACACACCTTCAGTATTCAGCCAGGCAGTTTACAACTTGACCTGAACCTTCAGTTCCTGTTTGGACAGAGCTTAAAGGTCAGCCAGAGGTGAGAGCTTAAGTTCTTTTCAGGTCTTTCCTGAATATGTGTACAGCCCTGGGCATGCCCATGTCCTTCTAGATTCTCAGGTATATGTTGGAGCTTTTCAAAGACCTTATTCCCCAAAGCATCTCATTCTCTAGGCTTGCCTCCCAAGATTTTTAGTTAGCTATTTTTCCCCCCAATTCTTACCCACTGCATCAGGCAGCAGTGAACAAAACATTTGCCTGTAAATGTTTTCAACATTACACCACTTTAGCACTGGTCAAGTTCCAAGTTAGGCAAGATAAAGGCAAGCCAGTCTTCCAGGGAACAAATAATCAGAATTTTTTGTGAATGAGGTCCATTCTGCTCCCTTCAGTACCTATACCAGGAATGCAGGCTGTTATTTTTAAGGCTGTCACTGAACTGTGGAGCTGAGATGGGAAAGTGTAAGTTAAAATGCCACAAATTCACTCTTCTTATTAAGATTCAGCTGTTTTTCTTACTTAAGCACTCCCCAGGCTGAAACTTTTGGGTTAGTTTCCAGAGTTCTGAAGAAGTTGACAATGACAGTTTTTGGCAGTTTGTTCATTACTTTTATGGAGGGACAGATTTTTGGAGTCCTTACTCTGCCATTTTCATTCTGGAAAATTTCAACGGCCTAAGTATGGTATGTGTGGAGCTGAAGCTGGGGTCAGGTCAGGCTTTGTGAGCCAGGGCAAATTAAAGTCTTTCTCAGAGCCTCAATATTCTGTCATGCAGAGTGAAGTAAGTCAGAAAGAGAAAAACAAATATTGTATATTTACGCACATATGTGGAATATGAAAAAATTGGTATAGAAGATCTTATTTACAAAGCAGAAATAGAGACACGGATGCAGAGAACAAACGTATGGATACCAAGGGGGATGGGGGTGTGTGATGAATTGGAAGATTGGGATTGACATATATACACTACTGATACTATGTATAAAATAGATAACTAATGAGAACCTACTGTATAGCACAGGGAGCTCAATGCTCTGTGGTGACCTAAATGGGGAAGAAATTTTAAAAAAAGGGGATTTGGGTATACATATAGCTGATTCACTTTGCTATACAGTAGAAACTAACACAACGTTGTAAAGTAACTATACTCCAACAAAATTTTTAAAAATTTTCAATTTGGGGAAAAAAGTAATGATATCTATTTCACAGAGTTGTCATTAGCATCAACTCACATAATGTGGGTGTAAAGCACTGGGTCAACTGTATAATGCTATATGAATGTCAGTTGCTTTAATGTTTTCATTATAAATAGAACTAAGTAAAATTTTAAAAGGCTATAAGTACCATGAAAGCAAGCGCTTAAAGATGAAGAAATAGTCTTCCTTCAGTTCTGTTGTACTATACCATGTTTTTACTTCTTGACTTTGATTGGAATAGACAATTCATTGACAGTTTACAAAATTCAAAAATATTGGAAGGGGAAAAACTATAGAATAAAAGTTGACCATCTCTGACTTCCCCTCCTGAAGACAAGTATTGTCACCAATGACAGCATGTGTGTGCACAGGAACACACATGTACATATATGTCCAGAGAGACACTATGACATACAAGCAAATATGAATATATGGTCTTCCCCCTTTCTTTTTACGTGAATGATAACATACTTGAAACACTGTCCTGCATCTTCTTTAATGACTTATGAAATCATGGTGATTATTCCACATCAGACCACAGTCTTCTTCTTTGCTTCTTTTGCATGGTATTCCACAGACACACTGAAACTTATTTAAGTATTCCCGTATCATCGAACAGCTAGATTGTGTCCAATATTTTGCTATTAAACTTTATGCATCTGTGAATAAACATGTTCATGTGTCATTTTCCACAAATGAAGTCTATTTGAAGGATAAAATTATAGATGTGGAATTGTTGGGTCAGAGTGCATATGCATTTTATAGTTTGGTAAATGTTGCCAAAATGTTATCCGTAAAGATTGTACCAGTTTACACTTCCAACAGCAGCATATGCTTGTTTTCTCAACGTTAATCCTAAAGACTAAATGTTTTTTATTTAGGTTATAAGCCCCAAGACTTCAAAGGTACTACAAAAATCACCCTCTACAAGAAGAATGGTAAGAAAACAAATCATTTCCTTTCCTCCCTAATTATTAACTCCTTACACAGTATTCTTTGGCTATATCCACCTTATCTGTGTATAATTTTGCTCATGATACACCTTCAAACTTGACATTTTCAGTGTAGCACATGAGGGAATGTATAAGGACTCAACTAATTGATGACTCAGAATTTGTGGTTAGACATTCTGTTCACAAGAGTGAATACTCTAGAAAGTTAGAGGGAAAATGTGATCATTATAACTGGCTCAATGATATCAGGAGTGTGAAATTTATCTTAAGAGGCTTCTGTGGAGCTGGCAGGGGAGGGACGTGAGATGCCCACAGGAGTGTTTTGGGAGGGTGCTTTTGACTGCAGTGAACCAGGGGCTCCCTGCCCCCTCCCAGCTCTAAACCACTCACTGCCATTCCCTGGCATGCTCTCCTGCTTCTCGCAGGTAATAGTAGAAAAGTACTGTTAGAAGTGACCCTTAAAAAGTAGTTTCCTAGTGCTGCACTAACAATACCAGGGTGGATTAAAACAATAGAAATTTACTCTCTCACAGTTCTGGAGGCTAAAACTCCGAAATCAAGGTGTTGATTCAGTTGGTTCCTTCTGAAGGTCATGAAAGGAGGACGTGTTTCTGACATTATTATTAGCTTTGGGTGACGCCAGGAGTCCTTGGCCTTCCTTAGCCTACAGATGATGCATCACTCCAATCTCTGCCTCCATCTTTGTATGGCATTCACCCTGTGTGTGTGTGTGTGTGTGTGTGTGTGTGTGTGTGTGTGTGTGTGTCTTCTCCTGTTATATGGACACCAATCACATTGGATTAAGGGGCCCACCGTGCTCCAATTTGAACCTCGTCTTAGCTAATTACATTTGCAATGACCCTATTTCCAAAAAAGGTCATATTCTGAGGTCCTGGGCTTAGGACTTCAACATATTTGGTGGGGGGTGGGAGGGAGGACACAATTCAATCCATAGCACATTTTTTCTAGGGGATATACTGAGTCAATTCACATAAAACTACACCAACAGTATTGTCCCTTGAGAACACAGAATTAAAACAATTACCTGAAGAGTAGCCAGATCCTCAAATAGAAATTTATTTCTGCTTATCTCTAAATAGAGAATTAATTTTTAAAACATTCAAGATTTTGAAACAAAAGGAATTTTCCATTCAATTCTAACAAAAGAGACTTTATTGTTAATTAGACAGCACCATTCTTTGAGAGCTCTGAGGTCCCCAAGCCAATCAGAGCACCTGAAAGCAGGGACACTCTTCCCCAACAGCTGTCCACACTCCATTCTTCACAGTGTTAATAGGACACTTTGAAGGATCAAGTTTGGTGCACATCTGGAATTCAATTTGGAGTGACCATTCATTGCTACTGACTAAAGAAAAAGGATATTTGAAAAGCCACATTTTTCAGTTAGATCCTTAAATTTTTCAGAAGGTTGATCTCCTTAAAATAAATTGAAATACAGAATCCTACTTCAAGTAGGCTTATTTAGGACATTGTTCAAGAAAATGCACTGATAAAAACATTAGATTTTTGTCGCAACCCAGATTTTTTTTTTTAACATCTTTATTGGAGTATAATTTTTTTACAATGGTGTGTTAGTTTCTGCTGTGTAACAAAATGAATCAGCTGTATGCATACATATATCCCCATACCCCCTCCCTCTTGCGTCTCCCTCCCACCCTCCCCATCCCACCCCTCTAGGTGGTCACAAAGTACCCAGCTGATCTCCCTGTGCTATGCAGCTGCTTCCCACTAACTATCTATTTTACATTTGGTAGTGTGTATATGTCCATGCCACTCTCTCACTTCGGCCCAGCTTACCCTTCCCTATCCCTTTGTCAAGTCCATTCTCTACGTCTGCGACTTTATTCCTGTCCTGCCCATAGGTTCATCAGAACCATTTTTTTTTTTTAGATTCCATATATATGTTTTAGCATACGGTATTTGTTTTTCTCCTTCTGACTTACTTCACCCTGTATGACAGACTCTAGGTCCATCCACCTCACTACAAATAACTCAATTTCGTTATTTTTTATGGCCGAATAATATTCCATTGTATATATGGGCCACATCTTGTTTATCCATTCATCTGTCGATGGACACTTAGGTTGCTTCCATGTCCTGGCTATTGTAAATAGTGCTGCAATGAACACAACCCAGTTTTCTTCCCTCATGATTTTAAGGCATTATAGTGAGACCTAAGCCTGTAACAAAAGTAAAATCCCAGATTAAGTTTAGTCATTAGTAAATCTCCTGTTAGAAAGAAAGCAGTGTTTCATTCTGGTTAAATCCTGGTCATGTTTACATGTTTCCCTAATTTGGAATGCCACTGATTTTCTTGTCTCTTAAGTGTAATCATTGAGTTTAACAGAATGTACCGCATGTTTCCTCCTTGGCAGTCTGACGTGCCGGAGGGAGTCATAAGGATCCACGCGCCCCTTCTCTCCAAGGTGTCCATGGCCATTCAACTCAACAGTCAAACCAAAGCCAAAGACATATTGGCGAAATTTCAATATGAGAACAGGTGAGTAGAAGTGAGTATGAGTCTCTGTACTGGAAGATGAACTTTTATCTGATGAGAAACTCCAGGCATTTGAAAATTTGACCTTTTTGAAAAGTTAGAGCCTGTTACTTTAAGGACTTCACCAGTAAATGAAGAATCAGAAGTAGAGAAAGAAGTTAAGTAGACCATAGAATTATCAGTAACAAAAGGTTTTTTTCAAGGAATTTCTACAATTGGGATTCTAAAATAGGTATCTTCTGTCCCAGTGTCTTCATTTACTCAATCGGTTTTACTTTTTATTTGAATAAAAAAATTAGCAAGTTAGTTTTGTAGATATCTTGATAGATTTCTCAGAATATCATTATTCCAGGCTCCACTGGGCTTTAGCATGACTATATCAAGTAGAGTTTATGTAGCTGAGTGAACATCATAGCTGTTGGTCTCCCTAAAACCTACCACCAATAAGCCTTAGGATCAGAGTGATGTTGACAAAATATTTTTTGCATATCTGCCTTAAGTCACCTTAAAGAGCATAAATCATGATAATTTTTGTACAGGCATACTTATTCAGGGACAGACATTTGCCCTGAGGTTCTTTTTAAAAACGAGAAGCACTGGTTTAAATCTAACCATGATAAAGCAGGTACAGTTTGATGGTCTCTGGTACAACTGATGGATATCCTTTAAAAGCAGCTTTCCGATCATATTGAAAAGGAGTAGCCATGTTGAGCAAAAAAAGGTTACATATTGCAAGACTCCATTTATTTAACATTTTTGAAATGACAAAATTTTAGAAATGCAGGGTAGGTGAGTGATTGCTAGAGGTTGAGGAGAATGATCATGGAAACTGGTATTGCCTCGATACCAAAACCAGACCAAAATAATACAAAACAAACACTACAGACTAATATCTGTCATGAACTTAGATACAGAAGCCCTCAACAAATCTAATCCAAAGTATATTAAAAGAATTATACCTAGAACAAGTGGGATTTAGTTCAGGTATGCAAGATTAGTTTAACATTCAAAAATCAATTACTGTAATCCATCCTATCAATTGGAGAAAAATCATATGATCATGTTAAATGATACAGAAAACGCATTTGACAAAATCCATCACCAATTCATGATAAAAACTCAGCAAACTTAGGAAAAGAGGAGATCTTCTGCAACTGGATAAAACTTTTAGAAAATAACATAGGAGAAAACCTTTGTGATTGAGGACTAGTGAAGAATTTCTTAAACTTGACATAGTATGACTCATACAAAACAAAAATTGGTAAATTGGACTTCATCAAGATTGAAAACTTATACACTGAAAGACCCTGTTTAAAAGATGAAAAGACAAGCTAAAGACTTGGAGAAAATATTTATAAAGTACATATCCAACGAAGGACTAGTATCTAGAAAGTATAAAGAACACTCAAAACTCAACAGTGCAGAAACAAGCAATCCAATTTGAAAATGGGCAAAAGACATGAACAGAAGCGGATATACAGATGGCAAATATGAACATGGAAAGATGTTCAGTATTTTTAACCATTAGGGAAATACAAAACCACAATGACATATTAAACACCTATGAAAATGGCTAAAAAGTAATAATAATGACAACACCAAGTACAGGTGAAGATACAAAAAGACTGAATTACTCATACATTGGTGGTGGGAATGTAAAATGGTCTAGTCACTCTGTAGAACAGTTTGACAGTTTCTTATCAAATTGAATATGCAACTGTCGTGTGATGTGGCATTCACACTCCTGGGCATTTATCCCAAAGAAATGAAGATTATGTTTACACAGAAACCTGTACACAAATTCTTATAGCAGCTTTATTTATAATAGTCGAAAACTGGGGGAAAAAAAACCCCGTGTTCTTCAACAGGTAAATGACTAAACAGGCCGCGGTCCATCCATATCACATGTGCTACGCAGCAGTAAAAATGCAGCAGCCTGGGTGAATCCAGGGATCTATGCTGACTGAAAAAAAAAAGCCAATACAAAAATGTTCCATACTGTGTGTTTCCATTTATATAACGTTTCTATAAATGACAAGTTTATAGAAATGTAGAATCCAGGGATAAGGGGTGGAGGATGGAGACAGGGGGAGGGAAGTGGGTGTGGCTATAAGGAGAACAAGAAGAGCCTTGTGGGGAAGGAAATGTTCTGTACCTTGACTGAATCCATGTGGCGCTTCTGGTTGTGACATCACACTAGGGTATTGGAAGATTTTACTATTGGGGAAACTAGGTAAAGAGTACACAAGGATGTGTCTGAATATTTTCTTATAACCACATGCAAATCTACAACTATCTCAAATAAAATGTTTAATTAAACAAAGAGGGTGCACGCCCTTCTCCCTCACAGCAGAGAGCCAAAGACCCTCTTTTTGAGTAACCAAGCTGACAGTTGTAGTGGACAGGAGCTCAGCAATGGTCTTTCCAGACTCTTCTGCCCCAGCAGCCCAGTCTGGGGTGGAAGATTAAAATTGGGCAATTATTTTCTCTGACTTGCTTTCATTATAGGGCAGAGACATGCAACAAAGTCAACGTTAGTTTACAAAGCACTGGGCAAGCTTAGAAATGTGCCATGGGCTGAGGAAAGAATCTCATTCAAGTTTTGGCAAATACAGAAATGAAACCTGATGGCTTTTGAACTGAGAGTAATGTGGCCCATGACAAGGCAATATTAAACATCCAGCTGCTCCTTGGCCAGCCTTGAGGTGTCAATAAGGTGTCCTCTCTTAAGAGGAGCTGACAGTGGTGGAGGGAAGGCCTGGGGTGGCCGTGAAGCCTGGCGGCGGCCAGCTTCCTCTCTGCCTCAGATGCTTGTCTGTGTCAAACAAACAAAAAAAAAGATTTTATCATCACTTCAGTCATCATAATGATTTGTGTGGTGTATTTCACCCAAGGCAGAATAATTGTTTGTTGCCATGGTTATTTAATCCACAGGTTTACCCCAGGTCACAGAGGAGGGTTAGAATTATATTGCTTTCTTCTTTTCTCAGTCATGGTTCATCGGAAGGCGTTAAGATCCAGAACCAAAGATTATATGAAATTGGAGGTAATATAGGTAAGCATTCTTTAATGTTTTTACTCCTACATTCTCTGATTACTCTAAAAGAAATATGCTGCTATTATTGTAAAAGTGTTCTTTACAAATTTCTTTAGATAGAAAATCAAAATCACTGTGTCAGATTTTTTAAATCTCACATAAGAACAGTATGACTTTCCTAAAATATTTTCAGAATTTAAATGTAAATAGTTTAGTCGATGTGGAGTAGATTTTTGAGTCTTTTAAATGTGACTCTGAAAGTTGGAGAGTCTGGAGATTCATGCAAAGGAAAGGAGAAATTGTGGCACTTTCATCATCTCGACCTCCTTTGTGTTGAACTTCCTGCTCAACTCTCAGTCCAGATTCATTCTTCCTATTCCCCTGAAGGGGGACAGAAAGGAATAAAAAGAAAATTCCATCCACGTGCCTCTGTGTCCTTACCTTCCTCTTGCCCCCCTTCAGAGTTGGGATGAAATACCCGCGCTCCTGTTTAGGGCGGCGCCTCCCTCCTGTGGATGAGGGCTTGGTCAGTCTCCCATCCTCTCCTCTGTCATCAGCTTTTCCCTCCCAACCACACCATTCCTCTCTGCATAAACAGTTCTGTAATTTTTCTCATCTCCACAAAACTCTCTCTTGACCCCCTTCAAGTCTACTCCCATTTCTCTGCTCCACGTACAGCAGAAACTCCTTGGATCATTTGTGTATATGCTCCAGTTTCTTCCTCTCCTTCTCTCTCGAAGCCACTCCAGTCAAGCTTTACCCCTCAACACTTCAGAATTGCTTTTTTGTCAAGGTCACCGGAGGACTCTTCTGTTGTGAAATCCAGGGCTTCAATTTGTCTTTACAACTGCCTGGGTTGATCTTTCCCTTCTTTAAGAAAACACTCTCTTCACCTGGTTTCAAGGACCCCCCCTAAGCTCCTGGCTTTCCCCCCACTTCACAGGCCACTCCTTCTGAGTCTCTTCGGCCTGTTACTTCTCATCCTCTCAACCTCGGAGCACGGGAACTTCTGTCTGCACTTACCTGCCGTGGTGAACTTAGTGCGCCTCATTGCTCTGAAGGCACCTGGATGCTGCTATCTCTCAACATCATGTGCAGACTCCCCTGGACACCAGCTTTCATATCCAGTCCCCAGCACATCTTGCCCTGGGCCTTCACATCTGCTTTGACTCTTGCCCTGGATGCTTTCCATTGGATGGTTCCCTCCTCACTCCCTTACCTCTGTCAGGTGTTGGCCGCTGTATCAGCTTCTCAGTGAGACCTTCCTGGATTGGACCCTCTTTCTGTGCCTTCCCCAATTTCTTGTTCTCTCATTTTCTTATCACCATCAGACTTACTTTCTATCATACTTGCTTATTTGCTAATTGCCTTTTACCACTTTTAGAACGTAAGCACCCCGAGGGCAAGTATTTTTGACTGTCTGATGCATTGCTGTAGCCTCAGCCCGTACAATAGTGCCTGGCACATAATAACTCAAGAAGTATTTGAGAAATGAATGAATGAATCAGGCAAGCAATTAAATATTGCTGCTTTTGTTTGAGACTTTAGTATACATTTCAAACACACTGTACATAAGAATTTTCAAATGCATTTGCCCCCATGGAATGATCTTTTTGTTGTTATCAATTCCAGATCTCCTGCCCATAGGAAAAATGAAATGACCTTCCCTAAAATGAACTTGATATTAGTGTCTAGTCCTTGTCAAGTTTCTATCTACAAAGCCATTAGAGGACATGTATTGTCATCTAAATGATCATTAGTGTTCATTATCATATAAGTGAATTGATACCTGAAACAGGTTCTTGTCATATTTTTCTAATTGATGTAGCGAGTCCAGGGAACAATTTGCTTGTGATTAGTGTGTCTGTTTGCTCCGCAGGGTCACGTGGGATTTATTTGAAGTACATCACAGTCAGAAAGAAGCAAAGAAAAGAGGGGAGGAAGGCTGGCTTTGCTAGGAAACTTTAAAATGTATTTATTTTTTGGCTGAGGGAACTATACTGGCCTTATTTGAGCCTTGCAAACACACATACATGCACACGTGCACACACACACACGGAAGTGTGCACTTTTGAAAACATACTCTGATTTTTCTTTCTTTTAGGACAGCACTGCTTGGATCCAGAGGCTTATATATTGGATGTATATCATGTAAATCCCCAGGCAGAATGGGTGATTAAACCCCAACCAAGTGTTTGAAATACCCCCCAAGATGGCAGCTATCGTGCATTACATGCCAAGAAGTCCTACATTTGGTAGGGAAAAAGCAAGACTGCTTTTGACATGTTTGTTCCTAGAACCCTCTTGGTGTTTCTCAGCCCAACTGCTGTCTCCCACTGGTGTCAGCACGAATTGTGGAAGAGGAACTGGTTGACCATTTGAGCTGAAGCTTTCTCATGATGGTTCTTTGATAAGAGTGAAGGAAAGAGGATGTGATCCTTCCAGAAGAAAGGCCAATATAGAATATGGAACTCTAATCATTTCTAATACTTTGACTTCACAGCAGAAATGAACTTGGTCCTCTACCTGGGGATAAGAAGCACTTCTTGATGTAGCAAATGCTACCAAACACAAGAGGTGGAAAAGACTTTTTTTTTTATACTTATGTTATATATATATATATATATAGATAGATAGATAGATAGACATTTTTGAACAAGGATGCCAGAAATAACAAAAATTTCTGCTCTGAAAAATAATTTAGATCTACTTTCCAAAGAGAATCAGTTTCCAGAGTCACACAAACAATGTTTATGCTCTGACTCGCTTCTGAATTGGAAGAGAACCTTCTATTTAAAAACCACTGTATTGTTGTGTATGCTGTACTGTATTGTGGCTGTCTGCATTCTGGTTCAAATGAACATTTCACTATCTTGGGCTATTGAAAACTGATATTTTTAAAGCTTGTTCTCTTATGAGCACAGGTTCCCATAGTTAAGGTTAGGTTGACAAGGGCTGTTCCTGTGCTTCCATAACCTTTGGTGTAGTCAGCGGTCACAGGGCCCCTATTTCCTCATTGTGAATATGGTGCTCAGTGAATAGCTTTCCATGTGCCAGGCACAGATTTCCTTTCCTCATCAAACATATCATTTTTTGTATTTCACAGCTGTAGAGAATCACTTCTGCAGCCCCAGTTTTAAACTGCAGAACTGCCTTTGTCCAACTGCTCTTTCTTCAAGAGTGCTGAAAAATACTGTTATATCCAGATTTTATATGCTGTAAAAACAGGTTTTGTTTCTATTCATCAATCATAGACTTGGCCAAGCACTGTGGATTAGCATCAGGCTTTAAAATCAGATGAATGTTTGGTGAGCTGAAAACTGCCTCGCTATCAAGATCCCACGGAGCCATTTTCAGACCTGCAGTTGGTGAGAAAGCACAATTCATGATTCTAATTGAGAGCAAATCTGAAATTTGCTGGGGGATCGGACAGCCCTGCCTTTCATTTGGAGACTGCAGTATAGTCGTTCTAGAGTTGGTTAGAAATGGGGACAGAGGTCTCATTTATCCCATGTATGTGCTTTGGATTAGAATCTACTAGTTAGATTGAGATTTTGATGAATTTACACCAGTTTTAATGAGATTTAATGCCCAAATGACTCTCTCTTGCAAATCAAACAATAGACAAAGTTGCTCACCAATGCAGAATACATTTCATCTACTTACCAAGTCTCAAAACAAAATGTGATAATAATTTAAGCCTATATTATAGAAGAAATCTTTTACATGCTCATTATGCCTTGATATCTATAAAAACATAATTTATATTCAACATGTAGATAATTGCATTTCTGGCCATTAGAATTTTGTTATATTTTTATAGAAAACTCAAATATCCATTCATTTTATTTGCTTATTTGAGAATTTTTTATTTCCTTTGCCTGAAAACCCATTAGAAGATAAACATGTGTTCTGTTGGTTTATATTTATTCCTACATTTCATCAGCTTTCAATGTATGGCTAATTGACAGCATGTGAGTTTACATAATGAACTTTGAGGGTCTGAGAAAATGCCATTATCATTTTTGCAATTCAAACAACAGGAGTAAACATTTTACTTCATGTAGTTGCTAAGGTCCAAGACATAAGATGGCTGTAATTTATGCCCATATACATGGAAGAAAGTCTTCAAATTAGCTGCCTTATACTTCTGCGTATGTATTAAAACAATGACTGCTTTTTCTCACTGAATTTCCTATCATTTAGAATATATTCTGTTGTCTAGAAAATTCACAGATCTATCCATTTAATTTTTTATTTGGGAATTTTTTTTATTTTTTTGACTGAAAACACATTAGGATAGATGCATAAGTTCTAAAGGTTTTAAGATTTACTTCATTAGTCATTAGTTTTAAATAAATGGCTAACAGATGACAAATTAAAAAAAATTAAGTTTCTGAATTTCTTATCCACTTTTGTGTGGTTTTAGATGTCAAAGGCTTAGCCCAGTCAATAACTTTAATCACTTCAGTGCATCCAAGGATGTGTGACAACTTTCAAATAACTATATGATATGGAAGCCCACGTCAATACCAGTATCATTGGATATAACCTGAATTTTTAGTCATCAAGTTAACAAACTGATTAGAGAAGAATTTCCAGTAGACACACAAACTAATTTTTGTGTGGCTAAAGAGGTTCTTTTTGCTAATTTTTACTTTTTTTTTTTTTTACTAATCTTATTCTTAATGAATAATTTTATTCTTAATGAATAAATAAACCCCTACAATTAAAACTCAAAATTGCTGGTCACCTAAGTGTTGAAAAAACTGTCTTTGCCTTATGAAGAGTTGTTTTTTAAAATAGTTACAGTAATCTGTAACAGTGAATAGTGTAAAAGCAAACATGAATAGTATATCTGCAAACAAAAGAAGAGTCAGATACTGGGCTTCTAAATTCTTTTCTTGATAGCTTCCCACCTCCTCTCTTTCCAAGCGCTCTTGGTGTACAGTTAGGAAAATTATATCTACGAAAACATTAGAGAAAGTTAACGTTTTAGGAACAATTATTCAAAAAAAACCCCTAGAACAGGCTCATTCTTTCCTCCATTCTACAAAAGAAGATCCCTTTGCTAAACAGCTCACTTGGGGATATGATTCTTGGAGTCATTGAACAATGAGTTTAGTGAGTTCAAGGAGTGACCTTTGAACAAACTGGAATATTAATCTCTTTACAATGTATATACAATATAAACTACCTCACTTGTCTTTCTTGGGAGAAAAAAATAACAGACGTTAACAATTTTTGTTACAAACTGTTCCTGAATCTTATTATTTAAGTCACTTCAGTTAGCTTTCAGTGTACATTTAATAATATACATTTAATGATGTAAAATATTGTTAGCAAAAGCTTTAAAACCAAATACTCTGTAACTATGATGTGTGGTGTAGACGCTGAGAGAATCTGTGTCCCTTAGTCATTGTCTTGTGTGTTTAACTGTGCTGAGTCACAGGTTTTCAAATGTAGGAATTCACTTCATCTTCTTTCATGCATTTTCAACCGCTTTCCCCACATTGCACTTGACTGAAAGTAGCGTGAGATTAAACTTCTTTCTATCAAGCATATTTCAACTGTTTTTCATAAATGTATCACATGTCTGAAAGGAATATATATTACGGGATTGAATAGTTTCTGTTTTCTGACAGGCACTTTCAACTGTTTTTTTTTTTTTCATAAATATGTCACTTAATAAAAAATAATATGACATGGATTAAAATGTTTCTTTCAAACATTTTCAACAGTTGTACACACACACACATACACACATACCTTAATTTAAAAATAACATCTTTTCTTTTAGGCATTTTCCAACTTTTCTAAAACTATGTGCTTTGATTGAAAAATCATATTGTCACTAGGTTGCCAATTTTTTATGTTGTCTCCCATCTCAAAAGTTAATGTTCTTTCAACCCCTGTTTCATTGTTAAGTATAATATGTATGTTGCATTTTATCCATAAAAATAAAGAGGAAAAAACTAAAAACATTATCATGAGAATTCTTATATTCAACTAGTCTGAGGTTACCATGGTGCTGGTGAAAGAAAAGGAGCTTTAAATTCAAAAGGTTTGTGTCTGAGCCCAGTTTCTGTCACCTACTAGCCAGATGGTGGTCTTGTGCAAAAATCACGAGGCACTAAGTTAATGGTGGATGTTTGTGCAAAAAGTATTTACTAAACTTGAGTTGGTGCTTTTTAATCTGCGCTTAAAAAAAAAAAGAATCTTTTCACTAGATACAGAAAAGACATTTGGCAAATTCAGTACTCATTCATGATTTTTTTACACTCAACATTTTACTGTATACCAAAGCAAGGAAAAGAAATAATAAAAGGCATAAAGATTAGAAAAGAAGAAATAAAATAGTCTCCATTTGCAAATATGATTATTTATGTACAAAAGCCTAAGGTATCTTCAACTATTAGAACTAATAAGATAATTTAGCAAGGTCATGGAATACAAGATTATTATATAAAAATCAGTAGTATTTTTTATGCTAGCAGCAAGCCATTGGAAAATAAATTTTTAAAACTTCCATTTAGAATAGCATCAAAAAACAAAAAAATACATGTGAGTGCATTTAACAAAATATATGCAAAACATGTATACTGAAAACTACTACTAAAAGCAAAATATTTGTGGTAGAAATGAAAGTAGCTGAGTAAATATATAGATACAGTATGTTTCTAGATGGGAAGAGGTGGGTGGAAGAGAATTGGCAAGATGTCAGTTCTCCACAAATATATCTGTAGATTCAGTGCGATCCCACTGAACCCGGGCCCCCTGTATTGGGAGTGCGGAGTCTTATCCACTGCACCACCAGGGAAGTCCCTCTCCCCCTGGCTCTTGACTGTGGAGTGGGTGCTCTCCTCTGCTGGCCATCCTGGAAGGTTTTCACCCTGCTTGAGCCCAGTTGCAACCTCTTCCACTACATCAATTTGGAATCCTGTTGGCTGTAACAACAGCTAACAACATTAGCTCAATTCCAAAGATCTCTGCAAAATGGGGTTTGACAGCAAAGCATATGAGCAGATGGAAGAGACTCAGGAGTTCCCGGGGATGCTGGGGGCTTCCACAGACCTGCTTCTCTTATCATCCCAGCAGTAAATGACACCTTTCCTGACAGGCCAGACAGAAGTTGGGAGCAGGAGGGCAGTCGCCAAAGGTTCATCTGAGTTTTATCAACTAACAAACACATGCTGACTCCTACAGAGTGTCATCTTGTTTGTGAACTTTTATGCTCTAACATTTCATTCTCAACTGTTGCTCTGCATTTGTGTAACATTTT